ACCCCCATGACCCACACCCCCCTCCCCCGGCAGGTGGTGGAGGACGGCTACGAGTTCTTCGCCAAGCGGCAGCTGGTGACGCTGTTCTCGGCGCCCAACTACTGCGGCGAGTTCGACAACGCCGGCGCCATGATGAGCGTTGACGAGACGCTCATGTGCTCCTTCCAGATACTCAAGGTAAGACACGTGACACTACTTTGATACTACTTAGTAGTGTACTTAGTGGTCTACTTAACAGTGTACTTAGTGGTCTATTTAGTAGTGTAAGAGACGCTCATGTGCTCCTTCCAGATACTCAAGGCAAGACACGTGACTCGTCTATACTTGATACTACTTAAGAGGCTACTTAACTGTGTAGTTAGTGGTCTACTTAACAGTGTACTTAGTACTGTAAGAGACGCTCATGAGCTCCTTCCAGATACTCAAGGCGAGACATGCCATACTTTGTATAGGTACTTGATACTACTTAAGAGGCTACTAAATATTCTTCTACTTGAAAGTCTGCTTAATATCTTCACCTCATTATTAATAGCCTGTGTTACGTATATTTTGCTCTATAAGCTTTTTAATTGGTGACGCTCTGTACGCTTTGTTGTCCTTGTTCAGTTATTTATATATCTAGTTTACACACGAACGGGTGAACATTCGAAACCATCTACTTATTTACGTACCGTTGTCTATTTTTCATAGTGTAATACATAATTATCGTTTTAGAAGTTTTATTGTATAGTTTTTATTTAATTATTCATCAATGCTACACTGGTTGATAATTTTGCATCATTTTTTCAGCCCGCCGACAAGAAGAAATTTTCGTACGTGAGCCTGAACTCAGGGCGGCCTGTGACCCCCCCGCGAGGCGCCGCCAATCAGAAGCCCAAGAAAAAATAGAAAACCAGCGCTGATTGGCTGGGTTTCTGGCCCATGAGGGCCGGGCATCCTTTGTTCGTGCCCGTGATTGGTGGATACTAAGTGGTGATTGCCCAATAGAAGTCAAGCTTGGATTGCATGTCAGGTGGTGGCGTGGCCAATGAGAATCAACGGAACATCGTTTGTAGCGATGAATGAGGTTAATTTGTTTTGACTGGCGTTTAAGTGTCGTTTAAAATTAAACCTTGAATGTTTGTATTAGCTTTGGCAAAATTTATTTAATTTGAACAAAATCTAAGGAGATCGCAGCTTTGATATATTCGGTCTCGATTTAAATGACGATATATTTTGTCTCGGTTTATTTGGTATATTCGGTCTCGATTACCTTCATAAACCTCATGCACTGATAAGAAATAATCCATCGAATATTTTAAGCCAAAAGAACTTCCTCTTGTTAACATTTTACTAATAAATAATATAAGTTAACAACAAGAAATTCTCTGCCATTGCCTGCAAGACCAAATTAATTCATAAAAGCATCAGAGCTTCTAAATTTCACGTGTTTTTCTAAGAATTTAGCGGGTTTTCTACCAAAAAATATCCCTTATGAATAAAATAAGGAATAAAATCTGTTGTGAAATCTAAAAGAGGATCCGACGTGCTGAGGAAATGTGCAGGAGTTTCGTTAATAAGCAATGAAGGGCGAGAAGAACAACACAGGACAAAGCGAGTGGGCAGAAGTGAACATATTTTATATAATAATATTACTTGTAGGTCTTGTAGCCTCCCCAGCGTAACACGTGATGACTCTTATATATTCCTACCGCTTCTGCAGTACATATTGTGGGGCCGGCCACGCCTCTTGAGGAACTAAGTACTGCTGGTGTACTAGATGGTACTGGTGTGCTAGGAAGTACTGGTGTACTAGCTACTGCTGTGTACTAGGTGGTAATGGTGTGCTAGGTACTGCTGGTGTACTAGGTACTGCTAGTGTACTAGCCAGACTATTATACTAGGTACTGCTGGTGTACTGGGTAGTACTATTGTACTAAGTACTGCTGGTGTACTAGGTGGTACTGGTGTACTAAGTACTGCTGGTGTATCACGAAGTACAAGTGTACCAAATACTGATGGTGGTGGCACTCACTGGCTCACCGTGACCCGGCATGCCGCCACCACGGCCCCGCCCCCGCCGCTTGTATGGCGCGTTAAGTTGTGTTGTTGTCCGCTGTTTTGTTATGAGGGCCGCCGTGTCCTGGCAAGTTGCTGTGTAGTTCAGTCCGTCGTAGTAAGTCCTCACTCAGTATAAATAGTTACCTTCTTTCGCGTGTGTAACGAGCGAACTGTTCAGTAGGGGCTTAATTTTAACCTATGTTGTCCCTGTGTGTGTGAACTGAGCCTATCATTCTGATGCCATCATCGCGAGATCAGCCACTCATTGTGTCGTTCTGATGATGGTTCTCATCATCGCTGCAAGACGAGCCACGTTATCCGATGATGATGTTGGCTGCCTAATTTATCATTGAATTGATAGACGATGATTGATCAATTCATCAGTTGATTTATGATGAATTCAGATTCGCGTGGCTGGGAGCTTAGTTCTGTTGTAGGAAGACTAGAGCCTCGTTCTGTACTCTTAGGACATCGCCCGCCTCTGTATTGTCCTACAATTGATTCGACACTCAATATTTTCTCTTTATTATTTATTCACTTGTTTGGTCAGAGGAAGAAGCGCCGTTTTAGTGTTTTTTTATTAGGTTTTTGATCAGCTGACTTTTCGCCTGTACATTATCTCTCTTAATTCCTGTGTCTTCCTATCTTTCTCCTTTTCTCTCTCGTATCCTCCGTTTTTTTTTCTACGATTTGTTCGTGAATTTTTCCATTGAAAATTCGGATTCATAATTGTATTTTTTCCCCCATTTCTGTGGTCGGATTTTAAGTGGTTTGAAATCACGACATCTTCTCCCGTTTATTTTTAATGCCTGTATCGTGGATGCAATCCAGTAATTTTATATGAAAATAAAAAGGGTCCCGTGCCTTGACTTTCCTTGAAAAGCAAATCTGCATTAAAGTTTACTTTGAAATTGTCCAGCCGCAAGTATGTACCGAAACCATTTCTGTAATTCATGGAGCGATGTGCTGCTGGTAATCCCGAAATAATTTAAATAATAATAAGTTTAAATCTGTATATTTGTGATGTGTTGATAAATGTTTCCCGTTCGAGCAACCTATACTTGATCCATTGAAGATTTATTCTTTAAAAGGAAGCACGAATGTGCAGGATAAATCTTATTTAATGCGTAGTGAACTGAAAATATTTTGATGAAACGTGCCGAACATCGGAGGCAGATGCACATCACAAGACAAAACAAGCAACGGCAAATACTTTAAGGCCAGCCCGACGGTACCATCCTTTAACAGCCACCATTGCATTATCAGTTAACATTATTTTTTTAACGTCACGGTGATACACGAGTGTTTTTGGTTTAGGCCAGTAGCAGATCAATGTTTTTGTCATTTGTAGCTTCCAATGTATTATTCTGTTATGATATTTTTACTGTGACAAATATTTACGATGCACTTGTCATATCTTAACGTTCATTCATCACTTTGTCTATCGCATCGAAAATCAAATTAATCAAATAACTTGGACTATTTAAATTTATGCCTGGCGCATACATTATTAATATTAGGTAGTGACTAAACAGCCAATTGGAGCGTTCCGTTTGGTATCGTCCGAAAATATATGACAAAATCGTACCAATTCTGACGAGGTCTTACTGCCCACCGATTTTAATAGTGCAGATTTAAACACAAACCTTTTGCCCGGAGTTCAGGTATGAAGAGTCTGAAATGAGAAGCATCTGGCCCTTCTATTGTGGATATTTTAATGAGAATAATTCGGCTGATTTCACTTGCGCGAAAGTAAATTAATCTTACGGACTCTTTCTGTGGTGTGATTTGAAGATGGGATTATATGATGGTGAGTTTGGTTATGGCAATGTTTACTAAACTCTGATTGTGAGGTTAGGTTAAGTCCTTAAGTTTTTTTACGCGCACACATATCGACGACTGTAGAGAGCTGATCAAGGAATTGGAATTGTGAAAACAGCTGATAACCAGTGGGGCACAACAAGTGACCTCTGAAGCAGAAATCGATTCTTCTAATATTATTGAAATATTCGTTTTCTGTACGCCTCTACTTGCCACAATTATAGTGCTTATAGTTTTCGAAGTTTGTGTCAGAGCGGTACCGGCGCTGGATTACTGTGTAAATTACGATTTTCCGGGTTCCGCAAGTGCGTATAGGAGATGCATTTTGAAATCATTAAAGAAATTTATTGTCCAAACATTTTCTGTGTAAATATAAATATAAAAGACACAGATCAGGCTGGTGGGCGCATTTATCGCCACAAGTCTTAAACCCAACTAAAAAAAATAAAGGCTTCTTGTCCTCTACCTACAAGCCACTTGCTGCTTACAAGTCGCTTCTGAGTTCCGTGAGACGTGAGTTTATTCTTTATTACCCTTCACTTCAGTTTTGTGTGTTGCAAACTTAGAATTATAAACGCATTCTGATTCTTCTTCTGATTAATATCATATAATTGTGCTTGTACATGGGGACAGTACTGACGGCAACTGGCAAGTATATCCGACATATGCCAAATGTCTGCCGCTTGGAGTCTAGGCTATCCTGCAAGTAAGCTTAGACTCGAGGCAAGTTTACTTGCGCCTTGCGGGATAGACACCATTGTCACACCAAGCAGCAGACTATTCCGCAGACATTTGGCAAATTGGCATTTGTCAGATCTACTTGCTACCAGTATCGTACCCATCACCCGTGTACGGGCACTTTTACTCTCCAGTCTCCAACTGACCAACTCCATGGTCAGGCATGGAATATATCTACTTGGTGAGCCGCGACTGAATTTTTCGAGCCGTAGTTTAATGGATTAGCCAGCCGTGATTTCATTTCTTCAAGCCGTGATTCCATTTCACCGAGCCGTGAATTTCATATCTTGGCCATGAAAAGCCATTTACTAGGCACAAATTTATTTACAAAGTCCATGCACATGTTAACCTGAATCTCTAATTTTACCCTAAAACAGTCAAACGGCAACAATAAAATTTGTCTCTACTGTAAGTTGAGCACCTGTTAATGCAGTCTGACCGCTTTGACATGACAGCAACTATGAACTATGAAAGATCTTCAACAAAATGTTTAGTTGATTTGTTTAAATTACGATGTTTATGTTTTTTTTTGCAGGATATTTTGGCAGGAACGGTAAAAGCAATGCGGATTGCGGAAGTTGAAAATTTTATGAAATGGCATGTTTGTGAAGTGCAAACCGTGATTTTTCAATCAAACAAAAATTTATGACATTCGAGCCGCAAGATTTCATACCTACTGAAATTATATGATATTAGAGCCGCTATATTTCAGACAAAAATAGGACTTTTCCAGCCCTGTCCATGGTCCATGCACTGCATCATGACCATGGTCAGGAAGATGTGCCAGGTGCGCGGGAATTTATTTTGTCATTTTAATGACCTGCGCGGTGTGCCGTACTACATTGGTAAAAAAATGCGCCATGCACCGTACTTTAGAAAGCTAAAATAGTTTTACTATTTTAGTTGACAATATATGCGAGTATATTGACTACGCGAGTCAAACTGACAATAATAAAATGTAAGACATGTCCGGGTTACTTCTGACTCTTTCGGTTGTCCGCCTTGTCGGATACGGAACAAACGGTAATCGTAAACTGCGGCTGTTATACATACGAAATGTAAACAGACGGTGTTCAGTGTTGCCATATGACTTTGGAGAAAATTTCTTCTAAAATAAAGATGGCCGGGATTGCGCGAACACGTGCGCGAAGATAATCAATTTTTATTACATTGCGCCAACTGTGCACAGCAATAGCTTAAAAAAAGTGAAAATGCACGGGAAAATTCACCGAAAACATACATCATCCTCAGTGTGGCATCATGAAAGATATCATCGCACCAGAAAGTAAAAACCTTAGTACCTTACTGTGTGCACTTGCAGTCTTCCAGATTTCCAATAATTTCTAAGTAATTTCTAAAATGCAATAATTTAAATCCCAATATGTTAGCAAGATCATCTGAAGGTGTAAATTTTGTTGCTGATATCCTGATGCATCACCAATAATCTTTTGATATTCACTCACTCTGCACCCCTGCAGTATACTTCAACGCTCCTGCCTCCTGCCAAAATATCCTGCAGAATGTAATGAAAACAAGTTGCCCCAAAATGTTTTGTTGATCGCATAGTTGCGGTCACATCATGTCATTCATGTGTTTAATTGCCACTAATGTAAAGACAAATGTTACTGTTGCCATTTGATTTTTTAAGGTAAAATTAGATATTTAGGATAACACATGCACTGGACTCTGTAAATAGTTTTGTAGCTTGTAAATGGCTCCTCATGGCAAAGATATGGAATTCATGGCTTGAAGAAATGTAATCATACTATTTATCAGGGCAGGCAAATCCAAAAAATCCAGTTGCAGCTCACCAAGTAGATATATTCCATGCCTGCAGTAGGTACTGCCAAATGGGGTAATAAGGGATGGGCAGGATAAATTGGGACTGTCCTCCAAAATTTAGCAGAACTGTTGTAGCAGCTAAACTAATTGAAAATTTACAAAACTAAAAAAAAGCATAAAGTTCAATATTTTTACTATCTCTGTAGCATGAAGCTAGTTAAGAAATCATACATTTACTACCTCTAAAAATCTATGAAAAAAGGTGTTGTAAGGGGAGGCGTTCGGCCCCGGTAAGTTTAATATTTATATTAAGGAGGTATTCCGGGAGAACTGGCCCCTGAACCTGCTGGAACCCTGAGAAATCGCTGGTTTCCTCATGATCAAAACCATGAAAGCTAGGTTCCTGCAGAACCTCCCCAGATGTAACCTCCACTGCACGATCCTCACGAATCACCTGATCACCACCATGAACCACCTGATCAGCCCCATGAACCACCTGATCACCTCCACGAACCACCTGATCAACCTCAGACTCCAGCACAGATACACTGCCTACAACACCGTCTGCTGAAGAAATGTGACGATCTAATGTGTCAAGACCCGAGGATTCCAGACCCTCTAACTGCTCATGTCCAAGACTAACCTCTCTTTCTACCAAATCTACTGAAATGAGTGTGGAACCAGGAGGCACAATACAAGACACATCCCATCCAAGAGACCCTCCAGGTAATGACACAACAGGACTAGAATGTCCTCTTTGCTCAACCATTTTCATCGGGACAGGCTCCGAGCATGGCAGTTGTTCTAAAGGCTTTAAAACCAGATTTTGTGATATTTGGGGCTCTGTAACCCTCTCAGGTGCAATAGATTTTTCTCTCCTGCGTTTCACTCTCCGACCTCTTCTCAGTCCCAACTCACTCCTTGTGCCCATTGGCCCAAGAGGAGGCCCAGGACCTGGAACTACAATGCCAGTGACACAATCCAGCTCAACCAAAGTAGAGTTATCCTGAGACCCAGTGTCAGAGGCATCAGTACTGACATCTACCAAGGATCCCCCAGCTGAAGCAAGGATCATTTCATCAGATGAATCAGACTCACCTGAATGTGGGGGCATAGTACCTGCTCCCCTTGCCAGCAACAACACCCCAGCCGGATGTTCTTATCTTTAGCATGGGCGGAGCAATGCTCTGGGCAGAAACCTTACATGTTTGACACACTACACAACAGGCACAAACATCTCTTGTGACTGCATCCAGTTGTGGGTGCCAACAGTGCTTCCTCACCATCTCAATAAGCTTATGGCGACCAATGTGTGTCATTTCACAATGAACTCTCACAACAAAATCCACAAGAAAATGCAAAGGAACCACCGGAACAGGACACTGAAAGCCAGTGTACTTCACCAACCCCTCATGTAAACTTAACTTACCATGGTACCGTTTAAACTGCCTGAGACAAGGCTGATCAAGTTCAGCAATCCCAACACCCTCAGCTACCTTCCTCCTCAAGACCCTAGTTGCATAATCACTTGTTTGCAGGGCAATCAGATCCTCAACCTCAAGGAATGAGACAGGAACATGATCATCACCCCCAGAATCTACAACCATAATATGATGATCAAAGCAAAACTGCACGCTTGTTGTGTTCTCACTGCAGCGACCTAGTGGGAACTTATACCTACTTCCCCTGGTAGAGAATTGTATGCACTTTGAATGGAAGTCAACTAAAATATTGTTTTCCTTAATGAAATTTGCTCCAAGCAAGAGGCAGAAAGGGAGGCGTTTTCCTCTCACAACTGCAAAGGGAAACTTGCAAAATGACTCGCAATCAAAAAGGCCGACAGACAACATGACAATACCTGCCAAATCTGAGGTTCCTCCCCCTATGCCATTTAGTCTAACCTGTTCGTCCACATGGATAACCGAACTCAACCTGACCTCCTCTGGTAAAGCCAACCAAACATCTTCCCTGATGAGACTGACTTGGGCACCAGTGTCAATCAGTGCACAGTGGTTCTCACCATGCATCCTTACAACAGCTGTTGACTCTGCAGATCTTTTGCAGCCACAGTTCACCTTGAGCCACTGGAAATTGGCACTCAACTCATCACCGCCAGATTCTTCCCCATCATCTGCGGACAACATTTTATATGATCTTCCGTTTGGGTAACCCTCTGCATCGTTTGCAGGCATGTAGTCATTGTTCTCTACAACAGGGTTATAATGGATCCCTGCTAACATCTGCAAGTGGATCCGTTTCTCAGGATGTGTTGCCTTGTCACTGGCGAGTGCATGAATAATTGGCTTTTCCATCCCACAGTGAACCCATACCTCCAATCCATAAAGGTCAGAACACACCACTAGAAATTCCTCTCCCAGCAGCTGTCCAGAATTCTTACACATTGCTATTTCAGCTTTCTTGTGTCTTGACATTGTAATTCCATATTTGGCCGGTATTTAATTTCCTGTAGTCTGAGTCTAGGGGAAGATGTTGCAACTTCTTCCTGAGAGAGCTGGCATCTGAACTGACCAGGAGAGCCAGCATCAGAACCGTCCGGGAGAACTGGCCCCTGAACCTGCTGGAACCCTGAGAAATCGCTGGTTTCCTCATGATCAAAACCATGAAAACTAGGTTCCTGCAGAACCTCCCCAGATGTAACCTCCACTGCACGATCCTCACGAATCACCTGATCACCACCATGAACCACCTGATCAACCCCATGAACCACCTGATCACCTCCATGAACCACCTGATCAACCTCAGACTCTAGCACAGATACACTGCCTACATCACCATCTGCTGAAGAAATGTGACGATCTAATGTGTCAAGACCCGAGGATTCCAGACCCTCTAACTGCTCATGTCCAAGACTAACCTCTCTTTCTACCAAATCTACTGAAATGAGTGTGGAACCAGGAGGCACAATACAAGACACATCCCATCCAAGAGACCCTCCAGGTAATGACACAACAGGACTAGAATGTCCTCTTTGCTCAACCATTTTCATCGGGACAGGCTCTGAGCATGGCAGTAGTTCTAAAGGCTTTAAAATCAGATTTTGTGATATTTGGGGCTCTGTAACCCTCTCAGGTGCAATAGATTTTTCTCTCCTGCGTTTCACTCTCCGACCTCTTCTCAGTCCCAACTCACTCCTTGTGCCCATTGGCCCAAGTGGAGGCCCAGGACCTGGGACTACAATGCCAGTGACACAATCCAGCTCAACCAAAGTAAAGTTATTCTGAGACCCAGTGTCAGAGGCATCAGTACTGACATCTACCAAGGATCCCCCAGCTGAAGGATCACTTCATCAGATGAATCAGACTCACCTGAATGTGGGGGCATAGTACCTGCTCCCCTTGCCAGCAACAACACCCCAGCCGGATGTTCTCTCAGGTACTTTGGGGGATCATTATACTTTTTGATTTGGCGGTGATGAACTGATTTCTTGTACACGGTGCTGCCAATAGTACGTTCCAAAACATAAGTCACCCCATTATCTTGCACACGAGTTATTGTAAATGGCCCCTCATACCTGGGTTTCAGCTTATCAACTGTTAACTTCCCTGTACGATGAATGCACAGCAGAACCTTCTGACCAACTTTAAATGATACAAAATTGGGGTTCCCTTCGCTCCAGCAATCGCGCGTCTTGCATGATATCAGAGGCCGACCATCTATATCATGGGGCCATCTCAAAAGGAATTCAGATGGGGGACATATTCAATTCTCGGTGCATAGTGCTATTATATATCATAACCGTGCGTGACAATTCAAGATCCCATGCACCAGCAACAGTGAGGGAGGTCCTAAGCATCTCTGCAACTGTCCTGTTGACTTGCTCCTCTCCCCCATTGGAAGATGGCCGATAAGGGGTTGAGCGGGGGTGACCAATGCCAAACCTATTGAGGACCTCATTGAACTTGATTGATCTGAATTCTGGGCCATTATCAGATAATATCCTCTCTGGGCATCGAGGCAACAGTGGCAATACCCTGTGTTCCAAAGCATATGCAACCGTTTCTCCTTTTTTGTCCTTGAGTGGGACTGCCACTAACCACTTAGAATACTGGTCAACCACCATCAAAACTGTGACAAAACCTCTCCCTGTCCTAGGAAAGTCAACCAGGTCAACAGAGACCAACTCGAATGGACGTGACGTTCTTATCTTTAGCATGGGAGGAGCAATGCTCTGGGAATAAACCTTACATGTTTGACACACTACACAACAGGCACACACATCTTTTGTGATTGCATCCAGTTGAGGGTGCCAACAGTGCTTCCTCACCGTCTCAATAAGCTTGTGGCAACCAATGTGTGTCATTTCACAATGAACCTTCACAACAAAATCCACCAGAAAATGCAAAGGAACTACCGGGACCAGACACTGAAAGCCAGTGTACTTCACCAACCCTTCATGTAAACTTAACTTACCATGGTACCGTTTAAACTGCCTGAGACAAGGCTGATCAAGTTCAGCAATCCCAACACCCTCGGCTACCTTCCTCCTCAAGACCCTAGTTGCATAATCACTTGTCTGCAGAGCAATCAGATCCTCAACCTCAAGGAATGAGACAGGAACATGATCATCACCCCCAGAATCTACAATCATAATATGATGATCAAAGCAAAACTGCACGCTTGTTGTGTTTTCACTGCAGCGACCTAGTGGGAACATATACCTACTTCCCATGGTAGAGAATTGTATGCACTTTGAATGGAAGTCAACTAAAATATTGTTTTCCTTAATGAAATTTGCTCCAAGCAAGAGGCAGAAAGGGAGGCGTTTGCCTCTCACAACTGCAAAGGGAAACTTGCAAAGTGACTCGCAATCAAAAAGGCCAACAGACAACATGACAATACCTGCCAAATCTGAGGTTCCTCCCCCTATGCCATTTAGTCTAACCTGTTCATCCACATGGATAACCGAACTCAACCTTACCTCCTCTGGTAAAGCCAACCAAACATCTTCCCTGATGAGACTGACTTGGGCACCAGTGTCAATCAGTGCACAATGGTTCTCACCATGCATCCTTACAACAGCTGTTGACTCTGCAGATCTTTTGCAGCTACAGTTCACCTTGAGCCACTGGAAATTGGCACTCAACTCCTCACCGCCAGATTCTTCCTCATCATCTGCGGATAACATTTTATCTAATCTTCCGTTTGGGTACCCCTCTGCATCATTTGCAGGCATGTAGTCATTGTTCTCTACAACAGGGTTATAATGGATCCCTGCTAACATCTGCAAGTGGATCCGTTTCTCAGGATGTGTAGCCTTGTCACTGGCGAGTGCATGAATAATTGGCTTTTCCATCCCACAATGAACCCATACCTCCAATCCATAGAGGTCAGAACACACCACTAGAAATTCCTCTCCCAGCAGCTGTCCAGAATTCTTACACATTGCTATTTCAGCTTTCTTGTGTCTTGACATTGTAATTCCAAATTTGGCCGGACTGTGGAGCATTTCACTCACTAAAGCCTGACGCAGTTTATGAAAATCTTCCAGTATCTTCAGGCTAGGGTCCACATTAGTCTGACGGTGTTTAAGCAGAAGGAACAGACTTTCCACCATTGAATCACCTCCGCCATTCACTACCTGCAACACATCCAGGCCTCTTGGAAGGTACCCAGTTCCAAAGGGTGTAATTCCCTTGCCTTTATCAAATCCAGGGAGTCGAGAAAGACTATCTGCTGCTGAATTATCCTCTCCCTTTATATACCGAATCTCAAAGTCATATTCCCCCAACTCATTGAGGGTTCTGCTTATTCGTGAGTTCTCACAAGCCATGTTTTTCATGTAGGTCAGAGGTCGGTGATCTGTGTAGAGTATGAAGGGAACCCCATACAAAAATGGTCTAAATACCTTAACCCCCCACCGAATAGCAGCCAGCTCTCGATCAATGGTAGAGTACCTACGTTGAGCTGGGTTGAATGACATTGAATTATGAGCAATAATCCTAGCAACGCCATCCTGTTGCTGCATCAGACATGCCCCAGCACCATAACCTGAGGCATCCACATACAATTCAGGCTTCGAAGCTGATGCACAATAATCAGGGTATGACAACAAAAGCTCCTTTCTAGTAAGTTCCTTGAGCTTCTCAAATGCTATAGGTATTCATTTGATCAGTCCATTCGATCCTTCTCTTCTTTGGCCCTCCTGTTAAGCATGACAGGGGCTGGGCAATGACTGAACAGTTTGGTATGAACTTTCTCTGGAAGTTCACTAGTCCCAGGAACTGCCGTAATTGTGTCACAGTTGATGGCCTTGGGAAGTTTGTAACCTGTTCTACATATTCAGGGCTCTTTGTCAGACCGGTTCGTCCAACTATATGTCCCAAGAATGGGACACTCTCTTTAAACCAGTTGCACTTATCTGGTTTGATCTTAATACCATAGCGTTCTAGGGTACCTAACACTCGGTTACATGTTGCATTGTTTTTTGTTGCATTGAGATTTAATTTCTTTTGATAGTATTTTTGAATACTATGTGTCTCTATACATAATTTAAATCACTTTTCCTGTTAAGTTTGTGTACTTACATACATTAAAATACGATTTTTCAAGTGTACGAATATTTATTTCCCCCCACTGTACATAATCCTGAGTGTGGGGTGTATGTATGGAGGTCAGGACTCAGGAGGACAACTCCACTTCCTCAAGAAGCAGACAAAACAACAAAATAGAGAACTGGCCATGCCGGCTGCTGCCATGTCACCATGACCATCAAATAAAAATGGAGTGGTAGAGACAGCAATTGCCAGGCAGCCCAGGCCCATGCCCAGACTAAGCAGACTTTGGCTGGGACTTGCTGATGCTGGCGTGAGTCACTGAGAGCAAACATGGCTCGCTTTGGGATGCTAGATAATCAAATCATTCAAATGTGTAACTGTGGTCTGCATGCTGAAACTATTGATTAATTAATGATCAGTGATTGATCACCTATTATAGTACCTATGTATAATAGTGGCTATGCTGCTATTGGTCTATTGCTATTGCTTCAGTAAGTTCAGTGTGATCTGTATTCCCTGCTGCCTGTCCAGGACTAACCTAACTAGTAACTAACACACTAACCATACTGAAGGTGGATTTAACTATAAAGAACTTGCTTGGAGGAGGACTGTTCCCACTGGATTGGAGATGCAGACTAAAATAAGCAAATCCACTTTTGAAGTTCTGATTATCTAACAGGTTAACAGCAATTAATGGTCTGAAGTGCAAGGCCACTGCAAATCAAATGTAACTCTAGCATAGGGAACTTCTAGTATAAAGTCATCTCAATTGTTGGTTGTTGCAAATACTGAATAAAATTTGTAGCTTGGTACAACCTAACAAGCATCTCCTTGTAGACTAGGTACTAACTATGAAAAACAATCATAACAATCTGTGGTAATGGACTAGTGGTACTAAGTAGGAAGTACTAACCTTATCTCAAATTTTAAATAAATGCATCCACTGGTGCATCCAGCATCTCACGTAGACGCACTCTGCGCAGATCAATTGACTAATGTAATGGCTGCATATGTGAACAGTGTGAAATTCTAGAGGTTTTAAATGATCCAAAACACATAGTATATTGGAAAGGTCAAAAGGCATTGCATAACCAATCACAGTCTGGAGAGGCTGAAACCATAACCCTATTAACTGTTCACAGTCTGTGTCTGGAGGGTGGAGAGGATGACACCTCAACCAATTACAGCTAGAAAGGAACATACATGTGCCCACTGCCCATGATTGAAAGTACTGTCAAATGGGATAATAAGAGATTATTTTGAGCATATTTTTGTAAATAACTTCTCACCATGAAACATTTCATAAAAGAGTTTGGCTATTGGCTCATTTTAAAGATCTTTGTAAGGGCTAATGTATGCTGTATGGCATCTTCAAAAAACTTCCATCAGCTATTCATAAAGTGCCAGATGCAAAATAAAAGCATCCCAAATTACCCTTGGCTGGAACAAGGTAATTTGGGATGCTTGAAATAAAACTTAATTTTAAAAGGTCTGAAGCATGCAGAGTGTACTCATCCATTACTACCATCAAACAGGGTAAAAAGGGACAGGCAGGGTAAATTGGGACGCACGTCCCACATTTGCCGTATATAAAAATATTTTATAAATTGCGGTACAAATATTTGCCGTATTGTAGTGGTGTGGCTTGTGTATCATTATCTATGTCACTGCACCATGCATTCTTTCCACTCACCTGTGTCCTCTCTTTCCTGTACTCTTCCTCTCTGAGACATCTGCTACTGTCTGGGAGCCCGATTTATTCTGTTGCTCACCTCCCCGGTGTGGACAAGCACGCAAATAATGTTCAGCAGAGCCACAAAGCAGGCACTGGCCCAAGAAACGGCGGCAGTTACTTTTTATGTGTCCCAGGTTTCCGCAATAATGACACTGAGAAGCAAGACTCCGGTCCTGCTCGCTAGGTCGGAAAAACTGTCCCGAGGCTTCCCGACTATGCTGCATAGGCTGACTCCTCCGGCCAGCAGCTCCAAAGCCTGAGTTCCTAGACATAGCACTGACTGACGACCTCCCTCCAGGGGAGTATGAGCGCCCAGGGGTATAACTAAAAGGCCCTGGAGAACTTGCCCGAGCTACTATACTCTTTGTAATGCCCAAGCTTTGGTATGTATCAATGTAATTGTGTTCCTTGCTAGAATAGGTGTTGGTGCCAATGTCTGTGTATAATATTTTATTGTATGATTCTGCATACTTCTGTGCCTTATCCATTTGCACACCTGTCACACACTGATAGCTGGTTTCTGCCTCCTATTTACTTATAGGGCATCAAGGGTCAAGTTAAAATACTGAGCACTGAGTCGAGCAGATGGGCCTTCCTTGGTAAACCTCAAGAGTCTTGAGTGAGGTGGAATTCGTCCTTGTGGTGAGACTTTTACTGCGACTGACTTCGCAACTTCAGTGAAGAACCCAGGAAATGAGTTGACTGGACCACCTGTTGAATACATCCTGCCAGTCCTAGGAGTGCCCACTCCTCATGCGAATAACAAGTTGTGACAGTGTGCTGATTACAGGGGGATTCATGTGCGCAACCTACAGAGTGAAAGCTAGTTTTACAAAGCAACAGTGATTTTAAGGCATCCATTTTATCTGGCACGGTATGTGCGTGTTTTACCCAATAGCCGAGTAAACACCCAAATTTTAGCCTGTGAGTGATAGGCTGATTTCCTTGTCCGCATCAGGGTGTGTGGTCAGTTGTCGCGTACCAATGGTGTTTTATATCAATTATTTTACTTGCACATGACGACAAACCCCATTGAGTGTATTGACTTACCTTGAACACTTTAGTGGTTATGTCTTAGGGAGGCGTACTGTTGATTGTGTTATATGTTTTGGACCGCTCAAATAGCTGAATAATTGAATCTAGGATTAGCCAATTTGTGGTTGAACTGTGCGTCATTAGCCAAAACTATTTCATATATTTTTGTATCATCCTAACCTTACTAACCACATCTCATCCTGTGCTGCAGTGCATATCAGCATCTGTGTTGTCAGCGGTGCTAGCATCTCCTAATATATCTTCCTTGGCAGTGCCGGGTGGTTTTAGTGACCTACCCTGCCCGTAGTATCCAGGGCCATACTGTGAACCTCTTTAATATCAATATTAAACGTACCGGGACCGTCGCCCCCTTACAGTATTAAAAGATTTTACTTACAGAAAAGTTGCACCCAGTAGTCAGCTTGAAAACATAATTGACAGAATTTTCCTATCTCATTCCAAAAAAAAAATGGCAGCCATTTCCGCATGGTGGGGCTACTCGGGACACCCCCCCCCCCAGGGTAAAAAGGGACACCCTTAAAAATGCATTTACAGTAGAACCTGAGTTAGCAAAGGCTCCAGTTAACAAAAAAATTGAGTAACAACAAAGAATTTTGATTACATTTACCTCACTCAGCAAAAAAAATTCACTTGTTAAAAAATTAGTGCATCAGTGGTCGTCACAAAATTGTACATAGAATGCTATACCGTATATAGAATTGTGCACCAGGCATCATAGAATGAAAAGTAATTGACCTAAAATATGATTTATTTCTCCAAAACATATGATGGTTGTCACTAAACCATTATTTTCTGTTTCAGGTATGTTTTTCACGATCTTTTTTGTTATAGTGAAATCGCTCGACTCTATTAAAATTGTGCTAAATTACAAACCATCCTGTAAGCTTACAGATACAGAAGAAATGCTACATGGCTGCTGATATGAAGCTGGCAGTGGACAAGGTCATTGTCAATGCTCAATAGCATGTCCATGGATACAGTAATCTCACATTAATAATACAGTAATTAATGAATATGGTAATATATCAATAAAGGAAAAACAAGTAAAAATCACAGAAAATGTCATTTATTTTACATCTACATCATCTACAATGAAAGAGGGGGACTTCAGAGTAGGTACTGTTAGTAATGGATGAGTACATTCTGCATGTTTCAAATTTTTTAAAATTAACTTTTATTGCATTTGTCCCAGATTACCCCACTTTGAGGGGTAAATCGGGACGGTTTTATTTTGCGTCTGGCACCTCACAAATAGCATATGGAATTTTTTGAAGATGCCATTTGATAGCCCTCGCAAAGAGCTATAAAATGAGCCTAAACTTGTTTCTGAAATGTTTCATGGCAAGAAGTTATTAACAAAAAACGCTCAAATCCGTCCCTTTTTACCCCGTTTGACGGTATCAGTACTTCCAACTCCCAAGTCCTCCTCTTCCTCTGTAGATGATTTAGATGTAGAATAAATGATATTTTCTGTGATTTGTACTTGTTTTTCCTTTATTGATATGATATTACCATATTGCCATATTATTGATGTGATATTATCGTATCCATGATAGACATGCCATTGAGCACTGACAATGACCTTGTCCACTGCAAGTTCTATATCAGCATTCAGCAGCCATATAGCAGTTCTTGTGTATCTGTAAGCTTACAGGACAGGGCTTGTAATTTTGCACCCTTTTAATTGGTCAAGTGAATTCACTACTTATATACCGTATAACAAAAAAAGAACACTATATTCACTATATAAAAATAGAACTTACTACCTATATCATAAAAACAAACCTGAAACAGAAAGGAATATTTTAGTGACAACCATTATATTTTTGAGAAATAAATCACAGTTTAGGTTAATTAGGTACTTTTCATTCTATGTTGCCTGGTGCACAATTCTATCTATCGCATTCTATGCACAATTTTGTAATGACCGATGATGGAATAATTTTTTGTTAAGTGAATTTTTTGCTGAGCAAGGTAAACATAATCAAAATAATTTAGTGTTGAAAGATTTTTTTAAAAGTGGAGCCTTTGCTAATCAAGTTTCTACTGTAAGTGCATTTTTAACACGTTTTTCTTAACTTAGCTTCACATTTGTTTGTTTGTTTGTTATTAACATTGACAATGAAAATTAGCCCACTTCTGATTGCTCTAGAGATCTGAAATTCGGCATGCAGGCTATTTTCGCCTAACAATTTCAGATACAATCATAAAAACTAGCAATTAGAGACCTAAATTAGCTTAATTGAGTAAAGTATATATATATATTGGTTTGCTAGGGCTTCTGCAGTTTTTTTTTGGAGAAAGTGTGTTATTGTTGATAGTGAGTGGGATGGCTGCAGTGATGGGTACAGCCACTGCATGAAACATTTTCCAGATTGTGGTGAGAGGGGTCTGTTGGCTAATATTGGAAAGAAATATAGTACAGGATTCTTTCTTAGCAGCCTCTACCTTTGTTTTTGCCTCTTGAATTGTTTGAGAGTAAGCTTTCTTATTTGAAGGTGTTGGGTGGTGGTAGAATTGCCTGCTTGCTTTTCTCCTTGCATGCACTGGCTGGTGTCCACCTTGGGCATCCTGGCCAGTTGGAAGGTTAGACAATGAAAGACAAGCATAGCACCCAGTCTGAAAAATGGGGCCAAAATTTGCAATAATCGCACATCAAATCTTGTTTTACAAGAAATTTTGGTAATTTGAGGGCAAAAATTTGTGTCTTTTCTTATTTTTTATTAAAGAAATCAGGCAGGGGCCATAGATATAGGTTAAATTGGCCATAAGCCCTTGTCTTGTTCATGGTTACTTTCTGCAAAATTTTTCATACTGGCATAGCACAACTATACAATTTGAATGAGAATATGCACGAGTTGAACATAAATCTATTTCTGAACAAATTAAACACAAACCTGGCCTAACCCAGAGCAGGCATGGAATAAACTGTATCTACTTTCTATTTCCAATGCCTAACTAGAGTTTTCTCCCAATTTTTGGAGCAACGATATTCTTGCTAGATGAATTATTTCCAAAACAATTATTAACTACAGTGCATTGCCAAATTCAACCCTGTGTGAATCTGTAGACTTCTGGTCATAATAGTATTATTCAGCCTGTTCTTTACTTGCCAAGATTTATCATTAGCTAAAATTTTAAAATGATTCGTCAAATTTATTATGTTTATCTTGTCTTTAATTTTCAGATATAAACATTTCAGAAGTATTATATGTTATGATGGATAGAGTTTTTTGTAGTAACAAACATAATGGAGAATCGGTGACAATAGGAAGTCGAGTCCAAGACTGCAGAACTGGTGACAGAGGTGTTGTTTGTTTTGTTGGTCAAGTTGGAGATGCCTCTGGAATATGGATTGGTGTAGATTGGGATAATCCTGATCGAGGGAAGCATGATGGCTCTCACAACGGTGTCAGATACTTCCATGCTCAGTAAGTTATGTTTAAAAAATTATATGCTGAGCTACTGGATGAAAGTTTGTTGATAAAAATGTTCCTCTATAAATTTGATGTTGTATAAATTCATTCTTGATTTTATTTAATTTTCAGCTTTCAAACTTCTGGATCGTTTGTTCGGCCCACAAAATTATTGTCCGGCATTGATCTTGAGGCAGCAGTCAGAGGTAAATACCAAGCTCCTCCTCCTGATTCTAAGCTCGTGGAGCACATGGTGCAACATGCCATCAATGCTCGATTTGTTCAGTTTGTTGGCATGGAGCACACCAGTAAAAAACAAAGGTAAGTTGATTTCCTACATTTAATTATTGTCTTAATGTTACAGGTTGCTAATCACAAGGTGTTATCTGTCATGTAGTGGGCCTGAGGCTGTTCGTTGCAAAGGGGGCAACAAAGATTTTGTGATAGTCTCCAACTCCCCTACAACCATCAAAATCCACCTTTTTATTCAACATTTTCCTTGTATTTATTTAATAATTTATCAAGAAGCAATGCAACAAGAAAGAACTGGTATGTACAGTGGAAGTAACGGAAAAGAGACTGGTGCAAAACCAAGGCTCAGGGTTCATTTAACCTTTAATAATGACATATAACAGTTTGCCTGCTTTTTCCCAGTCTGAAAAGCAAAAATAGAATTAATCATGATGAACTTAAGGAGTGCACCAAATCTGTCCAAAAAAATGACACATATGAAACATAATCAAATTACTGAATCCTTTTATACAGTCTATATACAATATTTACACAGAAAATTATATTTTTGCTTTAATTTGCTTGGACAAAAAATTATACTTTTGCTTGCAAACCTCTTTATAGGCGTTTGCTGGACCCCTAGTAGGAAAGTCCTACTTCCTTGCAGGATCATTAAAAGGGGCTTCCCTCATCATATTCTATCACAATTGAATTTCCTTCTAAATTATTTGTTTGTAGCAATTAATGTGAAGTATTTTTGTTTAGTCAGAGAACTAAATTCTGTTTCACTCTTTCAGTCTTTGCCCAATATTGCAGTTGCAGCTTTCATAATTTGTTTTATTAGCTAGATTTCAATTAATTAATGGTTTCTGGCGTTCAATGAAGTGAAAGCTGAAGTCGAAAGTTTCAGAAGTTCAATTAAGTCAATCTAATTTTGTATATTTGTTAATTTCTGTAATGCAGTGCTCTTGAAACTCTTCGCCTGGTGGAGCTCAAGGAATGTCTGGTGTCACATGCTGGACCGAACAGCCTTAGCTGCCTACTGCCGAGAGTGACAGACCTCAACCTATCTGCTTGCCTGCTGCCTCACTGGGATGCTGTTGCCGTCATTGCCAAGCAGCTGCCTAAACTGCACATGCTTGACGTCAGGTTGATCCTAGCCTCCAGCACACCTTGAAAAATTACCTTGATATTATTGACTAATGGCTTCCCCATTATCATTGAGCAGCTTATTTGTAAAAATACGTTTCACATTTGCTGTCAGATTGAAAGAATATACACCACAAATTTACCTGGCTTGCGCTGTTGAAGATGAAGATACCGTACATGTGATGATAAAATGAGTTGTGCATATCAATCAATTAAACCTGATGATTTAGCACTGAAACTATTCTGTCATGTTATTTTCATATTTATTCTGGTTCTTTTTCCTTTTTCTGATGAAAATTTTGCCTATTATCAAATGTATTTTTTTCAATGTTTTGAAGTTTTCTGGAATATCTTGATACAGTGAGAACCGCCTGGCTTTCCCTGAAGACCCTGATGCTTTGAAGCCAAGCTTTACGGGTGTGCAGCACCTGATCATGAATCACATGCTACCACAGCAGTCCTGGCAGCAGCTACTGCAGTGTGCACAAATGTTCCCCAGCCTCACAAATCTCCAGGTAAATTATGCCTCCTCCTTTGTAGCCTGGCTACACTCATCAAGCAACATTGCTGTTAATATGGCGTTAAGTTGCCTAGTTGCCGGTATCCCAAGGGCCCTGGTTTCAGGGTTTTAAGGAAACAAAGATCTCCACATCCTCTATGACCAATGCAAACCATCATTTGTTTTTTATCTCACTTTCATTTTTTATTAATTTATATTCAAAATGAAACAAATTATATTGAGAAAAGAAAAGCGACAAAATTTATTGAGTTCTATGGTTTTAAATTTATGTTTAAAGTCCTCATAAGCCAGTTGTAAGCTCTTACCTCATAATCCAGTTGTAAGCTCTCTTAAAGTCCTTATAAGCCAGTTGTAAGCTCTAAAACTTTTGATTTATACTCTAAATTTATTGCAGTAACACACACTCTACTCCCCATGGAAAAGGCAGTTCGTAGGGATAACTAGCAGGAAACTGCTACTTTCTTGCAAGGCACATATAAATGGGGTACCTTTTAACTTCACCATGTGAAGAAGACAAAACTTAGGAGAATTTATCTGTGACTGGATTTGGACTTGTACTCAAGACTCAGTAGCTTCAGACACATGCAATTATGAGTATATTTTCAGTTAATTCATTTTGGTGAATATCAACATTCATGCAATAAAAACAAGATGCTGCCAGAGCTACAATTAATACATTGCCACCTAAAAAATAACCACTATTTTTAGACCGCTTATATAGCAACGCTAACTTATAGCATGGATAGTTGTTATTGAAGGCATTGATTATGAAATTAATATTGGTAGTTGTTAAATTTGTATCAAGAAAGTATAGCATTTACCCATTAAATATATATTTTACTTCACTGAGATGTCTTTTTGTTGAGCACTGAATTCTCATAGGATTTTATGTACCATATCGGTGTATCTTACGGCACAAAATTAGTGACATTCATTTAAAAATACATTAAAGCTTCATACGTACTGCATTTCTTATTGCATGTTACTAAATTTTCCAATTCGAATTCAAAACACCTGACCATTCTACAATAAGTTTAAAATGATATGAGCTGTAGATATTGAAATAGCTACACTTTGTAGGTGGCGTTCAACAACCTCACTGCCCTGGGGCCAGTGCCTTGCGGTGAACTGAAGTCCTTGCAGAAGCTGGATGTTGGAGCAAACCCCATCTCTGACTGGGCCCAACTGATGCACCTGGCCCATCTGCCCTGGTGAGACGACATGCCTTATACACCTGCGCTGGTGAGACGACACACCTGCCTTGGTGAGACGACACACCCCACACGCCTGGCTTGGATAGATCAATGTATTAACTTCTTCCTCGCCGCCCTGTTCTAGTGCTACAAAAAAAAAGTCTGCAAAGCTCTGGTTAACTACCTTGCTTAGCCGTCGTTAGCGCTTGGCTGTTTCCTCTTCAATGGTCGTTTAGTTGTTAACTCATGCATGGAAATACGTGAGTAAATTTGTCCCCTGCTGATGAACTATTTCTGACGTGCTCTGTCACTGATTTATAATCCTCGTCGCAGCCTCCAGGAGCTCAACGCCAACAACTGCCGCATTCCGTGCGTCGAGCTACGCGATACCGGCGACGTCGCGCTTCCTTTTGAGCGCCTGGGCAGCCTCTTCCTCGCCAATAATCCTCTCGACAAGGTACAGCTCGTGCAGGTCTCGCCAATAATCCTCTCGACAAGGTACAGCTCATGCAGGTCTCGCCAATAATCCTCTCGACAAGGTACAGCTCGTTCAGGTCTCGCCAATAATACTCGCGACAAGGTACAGCTCGTGCAGGTCTCGCCAATAATACTCGCGACAAGGTACAGCTCGTGCAGGTCTCGCCAATAATCCTCTCGACAAGGTACAGCTCGTCGAGCGATAAAGGCTTATCAAGCGCAGGTAGTCAGGTCATTAGCCTGTGTGAGCGTAAGCTCTGTTATTGGATTGGTTGTGTATATGCGGATAATTTCTTGATTGAATTATTGCACATTATGTTATAGTCCTCCTTCGTTGTTTTGATATGGGAAATGATTTATAGCACGGATAACTGTCAATTTAGCAAGTTGATAATCCAATTTTAATAGTATATACGATGGCTGTTTTTTTCAACTTCCGATCTTGACACTAGACGGCAGGGCGAGCGCAATCGGTCAGCTATGCGTCGCAGTCGCAGAGCTGACCTCTCACGCTTAACTTCACTCGTTTTCGTATCTAGTGACACATCAGCATGGCCACCATGATACAATCTCCCGTCAAGTGTGAGTTGCAGAGTGTCATTCGTTTCTTGCAAGCTGAAGGGTTATCCGCAGCAAGAATTCGCGGTCAAGACAGGGAGCACAATCAATTTTAGAGCCACTGACCACAATTAATGCGTAAAGACACTGCGGTACGTTACAACGAGCTATTCAGGACAAAAGGAGAAGAATGCTCACAACGAGAGTAGTGCTCATTCATGACAACGCCCGTCCCCACAGTGCTGCTTTGACGAAACGTCTTCTTGACGGGTTTAAATGGGACGTTTGTGACCATCCTGCGACTTAGCGCCGAGCGAGAGTATAAAAATGCCTCGATTTAAATGGCGATTATGTTGAAAAATAACTGATAATGTACCTAGAGTTTGAGATAAATTTATTTTATTGCCCATACTAGTTTTATTTTTATGCAAAACCGGCAGTTGAAGAAAACAGCCCTCGTATACTGTATTTTAGCGTCTCCTGCAATGTCGTAGGTATTGCGTTAAAAATGTTTTTCACTTACTGAAGCTGTCACTTTTGCTGACAGTGTTATTATATTTTATAGAATAAATAACTCTTAATCGTTTCTTAAGCTGTTATGCTTACAGTGTCATTATATTTCACAGTATTAATAATGAATGTTTTCTGAAGCTGCCCTTTATGCTGGCAGTGGCGGTCAGTGTGCCAGCTGTCACGGCTGCCAGCGCTGCACACTCTCGCGCTGGACTTCAAGCTGCAGGCCGAGAACTACTTCCCTGAGTTCGCCTTCGCCATCATCAGGAGTCTTGTGGTCAGCCTGCGAGATAATTGTGCTTTCATATTAATTAATCACAATGGCGTAATTTAAAAAAAAATTATGTAAAGTTTTCTATAAATGAATAGATAAGATAATTGCGTTCAAATTTTAAAATGAAATTCACCATCAATACTGCCGATATCTCATGCTGCTGCGAAAATTGTCGTAAATCAATCATTCTTTTGAAGTCTTATTTATTCAAAAAGTTACCCGTAGCAGATTCGTTTTTGCTGATTTTTCAACTGAGCATCCATATTTCCTAGTCATTGAGGCGATAATCAAATTAGATCAATTTTTCTTTTAAACCGTTGGTATCGCCGTTTTCTATCCTGATTTATTTTAGAGTTTCGGTCGTACTTTATATGTTCTCAGCGATTCTATGGACCACCAAATTTGCAAAATATACCAAACTTCGCTACGCAAGAATCCTACATGAGCATATTTTCCCGTGTCACCGATTAATGGGCCTTAATTTTGAGTCGAATGTGTCTGTAGAAAATTTCACACATTCTAAGAGAGTCAAGCCTTTCAGAAGATCTTCAAACTCTTAGCAACGGTCCAAAAACAATTGAAATTGTACACCCTGCTACATTTCTCTGGGCGACCTTGTGTTGGAGCTCAGTTGTGTTCTCAACTATTGCTCGTCTCATCCCCCAGATGCTGAACAGAACGAGCGCCTCCCGCAAAGAGAAGCGCGACTACGAGATCTTCTACCTGAACACCTTTAGTGACGCCTACTACGCCGCGGGGGGCGACCCGGACCCTCACCTCGCACGCCTCACGCACGAGTTCGTCGAGTCGCACCCCACCTACCTCGACCTCGTCAGAGGTATGGTGCTTCTTCGTCGTTCTTTTCACCATGTGAAGGAATAAAATTAAAAATAACTATCTGATTAGGTTGATTACATTTCCTTTATTTAATTAATTTTGTTGCTTTCATTATCGCCTTGTGTTTTTTTTTTTCGTACAGAACACGGAGCTCCTGCAGACGGTCGAGAGCAGTCAGAGTTCAGCCTGCGTCGCGGCAAATTAAAAGACCAGAAATTAACTCTGAATGTCACGTGCATGGATGGCCGCCCGCCGCTGCAGCAGACGCTGCTGCCCACCATTAAGGTAAGGAACTTGAGCTCATTAATGCGGGGTAATTGACTGCTTTCACAGGATTTCATGTAAACTAGGATAAAGTATTGCAATGGTCTTTAGATTATTTGTAAATTCATATTTGTGCTGATATATCAATCTAATTTATGAATTCGGCGCACATTTTCATCTCGGATTATTTAACATAAATAATTGTTACGATCTCCAAGCTGGTAGTTTCTTACTTTTAATTTCTTGAGGTGTGGTGCAGCAATGCTTTTATCCTGTTATTCTTTCGCAATTCAATCACTTTATAGATCACATTAAATATAGGTAGCCTGAGAGGACTGACACTTTTTCCTCTCGCGTGAAGATCCCATTTGAAGAGTATCTATATTCAATGTTACAGGTCTCATGATGAATAATCTTCTGAGTATAAGATATTATATACCTAGCATAACTGTCATCATTACTGATTCTAAAAAGCTATCCTCTTTCAAGACTTGTCAACTATGTATCTAATAATATTGTAGAAGCATGCTCGTGCCACTAATTAACTGTGAGGGCCGCAGCTTCAGACTCTCTCTGTGTTGCAGGTCTCGCGTTTGAAAATGATGCTGAAGCGCTCGTTGAAGCTACCGCCATCTGCTCAGCTAACCGTTACTTACGCAGCAAAGCAGGTCATTTCATCTCAGCCATAAGCATCACTTCAATACAATGATTATGATGACTAACTTCATGATTTTATGGTTATGAGGATTATCAAGTTTCACTCTCTCACTCCCGCCCATGACGAGGCTGGTTTTTTAATGTGTTGCTCCAGGCTGCCTCTGGGCCTCCGTTGATATTGAATTTGATATTCCTTCAAACGAAGGTATGAAGTAAAGCTTTAGTTTATCATAGTTGGACGTTTGTGCTACCGTAGCACCTTCCCTACGTGACATGAGGCTGTCGTTTGTTATTCATCCTTGACGCTCTTGTGCAGAAAGGCAAAGCATTCGACATTCCGCTGGACAGCGACCACAACGAGCTGTCCTTCTTCTCTGTGGAAGACGGCGACACCCTACACGTCTGCTGGTGACACGCTGCACCCTACACGTCTGCTGGTGACACGCTGCACCCTACACGTCTGCTGGTGACACGCTGCACCCTACACGTCTGCTAGTCACCAGGCTGCGCTACCAGAAAAGTCTCTACCAAATGTGATCGTTCCTACAAATTATGCTTCGTTCAGTAATAATGTAACAATATTTGAAGCACGCTCTGGATCAATGTTTAGTTAGGTTCAAGTTTATGCGATGTAATTTCCATTGTGTGAAAAATTACTCCATGACAAGTTCTTAATGTGAAGCGATGTCCCGCCTGACGTGGAGCTGTGCTGCATCTCCTGACTGAATTTCATAGGATTTTGTTTTGTCATACTCCCTAACTGAGATCGATTCCTGGTCTCTGACTGACATGCTTAGGGGGTTCTGTTCATTTATAATATATATGTATTATGATTTGTTACATTAATATGGGCGCATCTGGCTTTTAATATACTTGATTAGGGTTAAAAATAGGCTCGTATTTTCAACGCTTCACGCAAATATCGTAATTTATTTCTGCATGACAAGTTGTTTCTACGTTCGTTGTAGAGGTTTTTCTGTAATACTGCGTTGAAGCGATTATAAGTTAGTGAGAGAAAACTCACTACAGTTAAAATTGTCAGCCGCTTTCCTTATTTTTCATTAGTTTGTTTTCATTTGGTTTCATTTTATTCATCAAGTCTGCATCGGAATTTTAGTTTGTCTGCTGTTAATTACTCTTCAGATTGTCTGGGCATTTTTCTATGGGTGAGCTAGCATATCCTTATTTGGACAATAGGACCTCTCATTTTTTCTCAAAGCGTGAGCTGTCGGGTGCGACCAAGACCTCTCGACGGCCTAGTTTCTATATCCAGTTGTCACTATTTCACTTGAATAGTAAAATGATTTAGATTACTACAACTAGAATTTTGAATACTTGTGTTTGGTGTGGCTGCACCTGACCTCAAAAAAAACCATACCTAAGAACAGCTTTGGAGATTTTCAGCTTCTTTTCCGTGCGATGTATGGAGGCCAGGCGGCATAAGGATTGCAACAGCAGCTCAAGCTGACGCATTCTGTCGTTATAATTTATATTGCACGTGGACTCTCCTCCTTTCAATCACATTCACTGTCAGTCTTTCAGAACGCAATTTTAATGTATGTACCTACTTATTTATAACACATCTTTTCACATAAAATTTAGACGGAAAATAACTAAAGCTTTACTCAATTAACAAAAGATTTACCTTGATGATGTATCATTCAAAGGTGTTATTCATAATAAAAATACAAATTTTAATCCTGTTTACAGTATCTCCCCCGATTCACATCAACACACATTTATCAAAACTAACTCAATTCTAGATTTAAAGCTACAGTTCATTCCAGAAAGTAAGACATGCTGGAGAATAAAACAATTTACATAACAAAATAGTTTAATATTAAAAATCTTACGAGTACAATAGACGCTACTTTGAGCACCGCTTCTATCGCTAAATTGCAGAAGGAAGTTTGGTAGGAATACTTCTGAATATCTTGTTAATGAACAAAATCCTGTCATGCAGCGTCAGACCTTATTTCAAACGTCAATTCTGCTGCTGTTTTGTTATAAATTTGCATATGCGGCACAACATGGCTCGGCATTAACAGACAAAATGAAGTTAAATTCTGCGTGCAAACGGCGAACATCTGAAGTCATTAAAAGTCAGTAAATGAAGCTTAATTCGCAAAGAACAAATGACTCCAGGAGAACAAAACCCACTTGTAACTTGCCGCACGTACTTCGCCATGACAAAGATGACACATAGCCGCTCCTGGCAGGACTGTTAACGCCACCTCCATGCGAGCTCAGCACACCAATGAGCCAGGCTCTTACAAATAACTAATTCTTACAAGCAAACGTACAAGATAATTTATTCGCTATCACGCTATGTTTACGACAAGGCAGGAAATCCATGCTCCTCGGTGATGAGCCTGGCACAAATGTTCTGTCGTGGGTCGTGCCGAGCAGGTGTAAGCAAGACAACTTGACTCCAACTAAGTATTAAATTAATTATTGAGCTGGAGCTGAAATTTATTTTCTCTACTCAGTATGGATAGGAAATCTTAGAAAGTCTCAGAACGTGAGAAGAAGTATTAATTTTATATCAACTTAGAAGAATTCATCCAAGCGGCAATACCGTACGTCACATTTGACGATAATTAACTTAATTAAACTAGAAACATGACACACCTTTCTTTATGCCACACACTGACCAGCATCGTCGCAAGGATATTGTTTCATACCCATAGTAATACACGCGCCACTTATGTCGAGGCGTATAGTGGCAGCTCAGAAATCGGTCATTAATATAAGCACCATTACAGCTTTATCATATCCACAGCTCTTGTTCTCTTCGCTCCTCCGAGATTAAGCTAATCGTATTCACGCGTGTTAGTCTGCAGATGAAGAAAGTCATGCGTCAACTGCTAAAAAGCGATGCAGTTATTGCGAAAATACTGCAGCACTGAGACAGCAATAAAATACAACTAAAAAATACAGAATATCTTAACGTCATGGATTTAAACAAGCATGATCCTGCATTTGAATTTCACGCGATATAACAACGGTGACCTCAAATCGCTCTGAACTATTCACGGAGTCTGACCTGTCCAGTCGCCCAGTCGCCGCACTGCCATGGGAATCGGTAATAACAGATCATCCAAGTACAAAAATATTTCACATCAATCTTTCTTCGTTTCATTTTGTAAAGAAAGTAGTAGATATTGGCGAACCGATTTTTTTTAAATGAGCGTATCGATTACAAATATAATCTCTTGTGGCGTCAGCATCGCTAATTTAAGGCTTTACATTCAACAAGCGCGATAAACGTGGCTGCTTTTGGTTCAAAAAATATTTTTTCTTATCAAGTAGGCATTTAAGACGCCTTGAAAATCTTTGCATGAAATATAATCAAGAATACCAACTTAACAATGAAGAATCCCAGTCCCTGGAATAAATAATGAAGTTCGCTGCCCTTCCACAGATAAGGCTTTACGCGCACCGACAAGATGCAGTTAATCCCTCAGTACTAGGAGGAGGCGAGCATAGGATTGTGTTCCTCCTCATAAGGTAAATGTTCGAGCTCGTTGCTCAATTCTCTGAGGAACTCAGCGTAGACTGTAGGCTCGATGGCGCGGCCCAGCTGGTACAGCAGGAACCAGTCGCCCAGGTTGCAGCGCGACTGGATCCTCTTCACGTGCTCCATGCCCGCCATGCGCCCCCGATACTGAAACATGCATTTGCAAATTTGTTAGATTAATGTTCGTGACGCGATTTTCAATTCAGATCTTCATAATCGTTAATTATAAGTGTAAATGGTATAAAGCAAATATCTGAAATATTACAAAAATATTTAAAATTCATGCGAGTGAATTTTGAAAAAAGATTCTTTGTATGCTATCAAAAGCCGTATATACGTAAAAGCGTGATTTCTAAAACATTTCCTTAAAACACAAACAAAAAATCCAGGTGAAGAGAGTATAGTATAATTAAATAAAACTTTGGTCAAAACGTAATTGCAGTAACCAGATCCCACGACTTCCAAGGCTGAGATTAAATTTGTGATCGCAAACCATAAAATACGTTTCAATCCTAAAATGAAGGACTTCAAGTTTAAATAAGAACGTAAAAGTTTTCAATAAGAGCTCATAAATCACTTTTCTACAAAAATCCATCAAATTAGCTCCAAAATATGTTAATAACTCTCGATTAATAATAAAAAATGAACAGCAAAGCCTTTATAAATGATCGCATTCAATACATTTATTCTGACTGTATAGTGACGCAGAAGTCAGGTGCTAGCTCGCACAAAACTAGCGTTATCAAACTAATTCGATCGTAAATTACGAAAGTCATATGAGCATTTCAAATAAGCACACCAGCCCACAAGATCTGATGGATAAAAGTAAAGAGCATGAGCCAGAGTTGCTAGCAGCGAACCAATGAGAACGTATACTATAGAGGCATGTAAGTGGAACCAATGGGATAGCAATGACCAACACAATGACCATTTAAGAGAAGTTCAGACATCTCCAATCCCTGAACAATGAGTAAGGCTCAGGAAAATAAATATCATGCAAGGTTACGAAGGGTGAAGTATCCGCTACGGATGGAAACTTCCATACTGGAATCACATGTCCGACCACACATTAGCATTGTTGAGACAAAGGCTGAATGATAACAGCAGCGAAAGGCTAGACCTCTTACACTATAGCCAAGACATCGCGCGAGTTCGTCAGAATTAGTAGGGAACGTTAAAAGGGAAAAAATTAGGATTCACAGAGACGCTTGTCGTCCTGAAGAGATAGAGCTACCTCCTTGTTTTTTAAGTTAACCTTTAGATAATTTATGATAATAGGACTTCATAACAGCATGACGCAGTGTGATACGAATATGAGGCAGGGTATTGAAGCGTCGGCCAGCAGCTGTGCTGTGTGTGACGCATACAGCTGAGGATGCTCTCAATAGAGCTCATCAGCTGCTTTATGGTAGCACTGGCAACATCACTCACGTAAAGTTCCTCACATAAAAAATTACACAATTTCTGATATTATACAACACAGAAATGAAAAAAACAGATTTAGGATGTTCCATGGCTTCTCAGAAAAACAAAACTTTAGTGCCTCGTTCACATTTAAGAAGACTGCGATCGATGATGAAGACGATATTTACTCTATGCTGAAGTAGTCATCTCGAAAAATTTTAAAGCAGAAACTGCGCTTGTTATTAAGAACAACAAATATACAATAAAAGCCAGACACGTGTGTAAACTCGAGCTCCGACAGATTGAGCAAGAGAAGATCGTGCTCGTCGTATCAATTACTGTATTAAAGTCAACCCTTACGACAGAGGAGCCAGAATAAAGTTTTTTAATTCGTTACGATAGAATGTTAAATGCCAACACTAAATCAAATATCAACAGCGACCCCGCTTTGACCATCAAAAGCTATAGGATAAATGGCAACATTTGAAGAAGGCGAAGAGAAGAATATTTCAATGAACCCAGAATGTCAATAGGTCCATGCAGGGACAGAATAAGGCAGGTGCGCAAGACAGGTTTAGATGCCGGAACGATGAGATGAAGCTGCAGTACAGCGCTAGCCAGCAGGTCTGGGCACCGAAATATGAGCAGTACAATGGCACTCATTATACGCGCTCTAATATCTCATTGCTGCTGCTAGCATGCCACGATGCCCTTCTTCTGCATATATATCATTTTAAAAAAATTCAAGACATTCCCAGACATAGAGAAGACTAATGGAACGTCCTCATATAAGCTGTTTATTTATAATATCTCAGTTACTGGGACACACTCTCTCGGAGCTTAGTAACACTTTTTGCTTTAGCAATCGGGGTTGCTTTCTATTTTGGTTTTACCAGACAACTGAAATATTTCGACATTACGGTACTTGCTAGGCAGTTAGATGCGTGGTTCCAATCAAATTCACAAAAAAAAACAAAGCTGGGAATGCATAATATTTTCATATACAGTATATTCTTGTGTACGTGCATCAAGATGGATCCTGCAAGGGCAGGATCTTGACTTTCCCCAAACTAAAAATCATTGAAAATTTCACCCCGACCATATCAGTCAACAATGGTGAATTTCGAGATGAACACTCAATATATATTTTTTTCGTACCTGCGCTCATGTCTTCCTTCTAGTTGAAATTCCCTCAAGATGTCTTAGCTGACGAAACTTGCGAGTTAGGTGATACCTTGTGGCTTGGAAGTGCCCATTTAAATGCTACTCATGTATCGTGTTTTCGACTCCACACAAGAATTGATTTACTAACTACAATGCATTTCCTTTACTTGTGGCAGCCGTTAAATTGTTCTCTTGCACATAAACTGACATTGCTGAGACAGCGGTATGCGTTGCAAAAGATATATGCATACTTCTAAGGACATGAGCAAACACACACGTACGAAAAAGCGCGTCGAGTTCCAGTAAATGTAAAATATCAAAAAGCCATCGCTCGAAGCTGTAAGTTTGCAAGACGCTCTGTGCAGTCTCAATGGAGCCCTTGTGGCTTACTAGTGAAAGGAAAACCGACTCTTGAGATGCGAGGCAAAGGCAGGAGCTTGCTACCCACTGTAGTGTACAATATTCTCGCATTCCTAAGTAAATACTGAGCATAAAACTTCTTGAATCCGTGCAGTCATGGAGGCTAAAGGCTAAACTCGAGTTAAGAGCCTCCAAGGCCAACAGACTACATACGAGTTGGCAATGCTAGTTTGATGCATCAAAAGTTCGTGTCATGTTACTCACATATTGCTAACATTTAGGTACCGACCTCAGAGAAGATAGTGTGATCTATCGCATTGGATCACTAACAGAAAAATATATCTCACTAGAAATTACAATAAAAGGCAAATTGAGAAAAAAGATGGATGTAACATGCAGTTCACCAAAAGATATTAAATTAAGAATTAAAACCTGGAGCGAAGCTAGAAAAAAATGCCACGGCGCAGCAATGCAAGTCATATTGAAGAAATGCAACAACACATCGCAGTCTTGCACGCTCATGAACACAAAGTGCTGACGCACGTAAAAAGCCATCAACACAAATACGTAAAGAGAATTGTTGTTCTTATCCAAGCAAGTTTTCATCTCAACTAAACGCAAGAACCATGAGATAGCTTTAATCATGTTATACAGATCAATTAGGAGTCAACTGTGAATTAATTCATAATATCTTGTCTGATGTGTCAATGGAGGTGCTCACAAGGCGCCTGGGTACGCAAGGCAGCATTCCTTTCCATAGACAATTTCACTATCTGTTAAGAACGAACTTTGCGCTTATTACCTTTCTTAAAATTCTGATTCATTGTAATAAATTCTTTAGCAAGAAAATTAACGCTCATGCAAATACGTCGCTACAGTACCAATACACGCCTGTAAGGACCCCTGATTAATTATAGATATATAGATATATATTTACCCTGATATATCTATATAGATATATAGATATATATTTACCCTGATTAATTATAGATAACCCTTGAACCGCCATTATTTCTTGAAAGAATTAAGCCGAACAAATGAGGCTCGTTTTCGTTACTGACATGACCAATTGACCATGCAGCGAGAATATATAAAAAGCGTAGTAATACGTGAAAACATTCACAGATAGCGAATAAAACTTCCGGAAAGTTTCCACACAATAAATATGAAAGGAATGATAATTTCTGCAAGTACTACATTGCATTATCATTACCCTATCCACATTTGTTAAATTATGTTTGACTATAGGAACACAAAATACTAATGATTTGATTAATCAGAGTGCTAGGTCTACTAAGAAAAATGATCAGTTAAGATAATAACAAAATTACGGTTGTTCGAAGTCAGCCGTTTTGTTATCACTGTCTTCATGACACGAGCTAAATTTATAGATAAGTTAACGCGGTATACAGATAAGTACAAAGAGAAATATCAGCACTCATTCATGGGTGCTTTACAGCGATACTCATTTCATAATGAGAACAGCATTATTAAAAGTTAACGCAATAACATATCGTTTTCCGCTTCACTTTAAAATGAAGAAAGTTAAATCCAGAGCAGAGGTAACCTAAGAAAACAGGCCAGACAAGTCTCAGGTGTCCAGAATATGTTACCAGCAAGGATGAATGTCATAGATTTCATTTCAAACTTACCAACAGAGAATCCGACTGACCTGTAAATGGTAGTTGCTAGGCAAACAAATGCTGCTAAACTGTGCGGAACTTGATCATCATTACTAATCGTTAAGAGAAAAAGTTCGTTTCGTACAGTAACGGCAAACAAGACATGTTGATTTAATAACTTTAAATCGCTCATCTAAGTTGTATTTTTCAGTTATGTAGACTGCCACGAACACTACGTAATGAGACTCTTTTCACTCGCAATTTTAAAGGCACAGTGACTATATAATCAAACAACTTCTGCACTGACCTGAAGCAAGAGGCCTCTCAAATCCTTCGAAACGATGGTCGCGAATCTGAATAGAAGCCAGAAGCTGGTAATGGTGGTCAAGAGCAAGAGCCAGAACCACAGCAGGATATAAATCTTCTGGTTGAGGATGTTGACCGGCAGCAAACACATACTGTCGTGTACCTCCACCGTGCCGGACGGACCATAGGCTCTGCAGCACAGAACAGTCGTGTTAGTACATAGGCTCTGCAGCACAGAACAGTCGTGTTAGTACATAGGCTCTGCAGCACACAACAGTCGTGTTAGTACATAGGCTCNCGTGTTAGTACATATAGGCTCTGCAGCACATAACAGTCGTGTTAGTACATATAGGCTCTGCAGCACATAACAGTCGTGTTAGTACATATAGGCTCTGCAGCACATAACAGTCGTGTTAGTACATATAGGCTCTGCAGCACATAACAGTCGTGTTAGTACATATAGGCTCTGCAGCACATAACAGTCGTGTTAGTACATATAGGCTCTGCAGCACATAACAGTCGTGTTAGTACATATAGGCTCTGCAGCACATAACAGTCGTGTTAGTACACAGGCTCTTCATCGAACTGACAATAGCATACTGATGTTGTCCGAACTTGTATGAGGTTTAACGTGGTAAACATGATTTTACTGAAATAAAATAAAAAAAAAAAGAAAATCATGATGCTAAATATTTATTATTGAAATTAGGAGCGCAGGTGTAATAATTGGCGGATTTAAATTTTGTAGTCAAACGTAACAACTCTATCATGCACTGTACAGTGTACATAGTTAATATTGTAGGCATATTTAACAAGGCTAGTCGAAACAATAAATAAAAATATTTTATCATAAAATTGAAACTAAAATTTTCGATATACCTCAATAATCTGGTTGCGACCCAAATTAAAAAATGCATACATTTCAGAATTCAATTGGCAGTTCTTGTAGAGAAATTAGTCAATAAAATAACTCATACTTAAAAAACTTAAATATTAATGACCAACATGAAATAACAGTTAAATCGCAATTCATACGTTGTACAAGTAAAAAAATCGTGAAATCAAATGCATACGCTGTTATAGAAATTGCCTAAATAGTTTATATTTTTTCTTTTCATGAACAAAAGTATTATTTATAGTCAGAAATGAGACACAAGGAAGTGTAGAATTTGTGATTCAAATCCATAAGAGTAAAGCAGCACATTAACAAGAACGGTCGACGCTGACGCACAAAGAACTTACCCTGCCTGAAATATCAGATGATGTATTAAAGCTAGACTTTCAAAATAAGGAAGCCATGGGCCAACTAACAAAGAGTTCTTCTCATATTAATGAAACTATCAAACGATAACATTTTAGTGAACTCGAACTCAACTGTATCAACCTAATACGACATTTTGTAAATGACCATATACCCAATACCTGAAGCAAGAGACACCCTTTTCACAATCGATTTTAATTACTTAACTAGTAATGCTTGTATCTCTTCGATTCGTTTGCACAAGATTGTTAGTAATATCTGGGACACGGGGTATGCGAGGAGGGGAGGGGAGATGCGTGTAGGGGTGAGGGCGCGGGCATTAGGCCTACTCGTGGGACGCGGCTCAGACAACCCGCAGGGACGTGCGTCTCTTTTCGTCCGCGGCATTCTCCATTCTTATCAGTCTTCAGAGATCAGAAGTCATGAAAAGATTTATTAAGAAAGCGCTACACTAGTGGCATTCTCCATGCTTATCATTCTTTACAGATCAGAAGTCATGAAAAGATTTATTAAGAGAGCGCTACACTAGTGGCATTCTCCATGCTTATCATTCTTTACAGATCAGAAGTTATGAAAGATTTATTAAGAAAGCGTTACACTAGTGGCATTCTCCATGCTTATCATTCTTTACAGATCAGAAGTTATGAAAAGATTTATTAAGAAAGCGCTACGCTATAATTGAACGCACATATCTTGATTTCAGCGTAGTGGCATTCTGGTAGACTCCTTTTTTACTTCTGCGTTTATCAATAGTTACGAAATCCAAATATTAATTGACAGCGGTTTCAGTAATTTTGGAATTTTGTACCACGTACAAATTTTGCCGAAGAAAAGTTTTATATTTATAATTATAATATAATATCTGCACTTGGTATAATCAATCTGATACGTCCCATGATGAGGAAAAAATGTAATAAATACTTCGCTGCAAAACGAAGGCTCAATAGCAGATGGGCTCGAGCTCATGCGTTATTCTGACGGCCACACAAATACTCCTTCGGGCACAGAGTCCCAATAAATCATAAATTTTATACATCCAATGAAGACTCTGTGTTTTGATATCGCCTCAATATAAGATCGCCTCAATTGATATCGCCTCAAAATATTGATATCGTCCTCAGGGATTGCGCCATTTTTCAACGCGGGCAAGGTGGCCCAGTGGTTACAGTTCAGAGACCAAGACTGGAGCAGAGAGGCGCGCGGGTTCGATCCCAGCTCTGTGCGACGGTTATAATATTACATAACTCGAAAATCCAGGATCCACGAAGGATAACTAAAATTTCATTGGCTTTTACAGGCTCCGGCATACCTAAAGTCCGTTGATTCGTAAATTAGATATTGAAATAATACTCTTCAAGTTTATTAACTTGAAGATAATATCACGTATACGCACATAGCATAATATCACGTATACGCACTAGTTTGGTGCTTGAAGTTTCGATGCTGCGCAATCAATTCCGAGAAGCCTGCGCCCAGCGCCACAGCACAAAGAAAAAATGTCGATGCCATCGAGGCCGAAAAAATTTCACCAACAATATAGAGGAGAGAAGAAAGCTTATGCTTGCCCTAAAAGCTTATTTTCAGTCACCATAGATCGTAAAGCTGCATGGTTATTTACTCAGCAAACACAAAAGTTGAAACTGAAGAACGAACTTTCCCTTAGAACTCAATTTTGGGCAATGTGGACGGTATGCCAACATTTCACAATTGTTCCAATACTTTTTTGAGACGAAGTTTCTTTTCCACGTGATCCTGCACACCAAACGAACCTCTACCATTCGGCTTTGTTAAGTGGCCTATTGCAACATAAATGCACTATACATGAACTTCAATGGCCCCAACGGTCTACGCATTTAATTGAAGGTTGAAACAACCTAATCATTAGCTGATGTTCACATTTGATTCGAATATTCTTGGCAATATCCCGAATTACGATGTTAAAAGAAAACGAGTTTCCGAAATTTCAGAACAAAATGAATGTACTGAACAAAATGTGTGTACAGGCCGTATGGTAATTAATGCACATTACGAAAATCACTGAGAAGTGCAATGCACAAATACCGTCTAACATATTGAGACGCCAAACAATATAGGCAATTCGTTTTGGAACACTTATCCCAGAAAAGAAAAATTATGTTGGAGGTAATAACCAATTTTAAAAGATGAGACATTCGAGTTGCATTCATCCTTTCATCGATTCCGTTCAGAATTTTGCCGCCATTTATAGTTCTGAAGATATATTGAACGTACGACCGGGTTGAAAAACTTGCATGGTAAATGCATAATAGGATCAGGATCATTTGCATTGTTATCATATGTACCTCACTGCATCATGTACGATCATATGCGTTGCATTCATGCCTCAATTCTCACTGGAAGAAGTGTCTTCACAGCTGTGCATAACGTTGATCAACAGCACGAGAGAAGCATACTACACAGCTGCACACGAATTCTTGTTTGCAAATTCGCATGGAAAGCAAAGTAAGTTTCCTGAACATGAGCTATAGCTGACCATGCAGTGTCCGCCTTACACTTGAGCAGCATATGCTGTGCGATTAGAGTTGATAATTTGAACGGACATGTTGACTTGTTTCAAACTGTGATGGTATATCTGGTAGTAGTTCTTAATTTTTGCAGGTGATGTGAATTCGTAGTAGACTTTAAAGTAATACATTTCGATCATTTATTATTGAATAACGCCTAGATGTTTAGTGATTTGTTAATTTTATATTGAAGAGTACCTACTGAATACTGAATTTCGAAATTTAAACCAAATCATTTTATGGGACTATGGACAACAATTCAAACGATAACGAAAAATGAACAGAAGTTTGATGGCTAAATCCATTTATACATTAAATCCATCACATACATCAATTTGTGAAAAGAAGTTTTGCTCTTCGATTTGAAAATTTTGTAAAATATGCCTGATAAATAAATGATATAACTTGCAGTGACTAAAAATTCATTGCAAATTAATTTAATTGCAATGCAATTCTCGGGCTATTCAGCTTTTCATAGTGCAGTTGATGCTTGAAATCAGAGAGTGGAATTGATTGTATAACATAATCTATTATCCAGCCAACGCCCCGTGATTGCTGATGCAATTGCGCATTCATAAATATATTGATAATAATAATAATAAATAATTCATATTTAAAAATTCGCAAAATAAATGTGTATTATTTATTATTTTCTATTCGCGATATCGACTTAAAGATAAATGATCAGGAAAGTAAATAAAATTATTTGAATAAATTAATAAAAACCGCGTTACCTAATATTACAGTGATCCGTTGGGAAATTATTTCCTCAGATGTTTCTGGTATAACCCACATAAGACACGAGGTTTTGAAATAACTTCAAATCATCTGGACGATAGCGGTCGCCATGAGAAGAGAACTCAAGGGCCAAGGCTCTGTGTTGATGGTGACTGCTTGTGCGCTGTATTCGAGCGCCTGTAGTTAACCCAGAATGTCAAGGAAGGCAATTCTCCCGTCTCTCTATACTTGACGTATAATTTTCAGCTGACGTATAATAACGTATTCATGTCAGTGTAATGTTTCATGGTATAACGGAGAAAAGTCGAGAAACATACCATAAATCAGTCAAACTGCGAAGTCATCGACAAGTTTGACATTGACATTCAGCTTGAGATCAACAAGAACCGCGAAAAAATATGAAAATAATTTAATATTTAAATTGGTTAGCTGAGTAAAAGCAGACTGAACATCTAAACTTAAACACGAATTTAAATTGAATTCTCTTACTTAGCAAGAGAACAAACATCGTCCGACAGCAGACGAGAGCACGCAGAAGGTAAAGTCAAGTCTGCAACGCAGTCACTAAACCAACACTAGACTGTGCACCGTCATCTCTGTACATAGATCTTGTGATCTCAGCACATCACCACTGCACTGCACACTGTGAGGCACAGCTCAGCACAGTCACTCATCACGAGTCTCTGCTTCATCCGACTGTTTTTACAACTTCATTTTTTTATCAAATTACTGTGATTCATTATATGATGTATTTTTAAACACCAAATTTAATAATATAACCTTCGGACAAAAAAAAACTTTTTTTCTGTATTCGCACAATTTCTTTATCAAATTATAGGAGAAAAAGTGAGACTTGGTTAGGTTCATGCGGTGAGCCGTGGCAGGCTTGAGAGAGCAGCGTCGCTACTGTGAGCTTCATGGCAAAGATTGAGTGAGGGGTGAGGTACGTGAGGGGTGAGGTACGTGAGGGGTGAGGTACGTGAGGGGTGAGGTACGTGAGGGGTGAGGCACGTGAGGGGTGAGGTATACCTGAGGGGTGAGGTACGTGAGGGGTGAGGTCCGTGAGAGGTGAGTTACGTTAGGGGTGAGGTACGTGAGGGGTGAGGTACCTGAGGGGTGAGGCACGTGAGGGGTGAGGTACGTGAGGGGTGAGGTACGTGAGAGGTGAGGTACGTGAGAGGTGAGGTACGTGAGGGGTGAGGTACGTGAGGGGTGAGGTGCGTGAGGGGTGAGGTGCGTGAGAGTGAGATACGTGAGGGGTGAGGCACGTGAGGGGTGAGGTACGTGAGGGGTGAGGCACGTGAGGGGTGAGGTACGTGAAAGTTGTGGTCCATGAGAACGGAGTGCAAGTGCGACAAAGGTAAGGAAGAGGGAACTTTGAAGGTGTGGTAGGTGAAGGGCAGGTATGAAAAAAGTGAATAAAATAAGAGTGTGGTCCATGGGAGCTGAGGTAAGATAGGGTGAGATACGATAAGGGTGAGGTATGGAGTGGGGGAGGGGGAGGGATGTTAGAAGTGAGGTAGGGGAGGGTTGGGGGAGTAACCACAACCGCACATACTTTATCTGGTTAATGAATGCTAAGCAGGAAACCTTCTATGCGCTCAGGGAGAACATATATTGCACACATACACATATCTACAGAACACATTTCACATGTTCATGCGCGACTAGCCTACAGATACCAGATTCACGAAGTCTTCTAATAACGATAATTCGATTAATAAAAAAAACTGTCTCGTTACTTAGCTTCAGGCGGAAATTTATACTGGGAATACGTACTGTAGATTATTTTGAAATTTGTTGCAGTTCATATATGAGATTTTCTAGCATTCGATACAACTGTATTGAAAATACAGCAATTCAGTCATAATTGCAATTTGGAATTCAAACTGAAGCCGTTTAAAACGTAAAACTAGTAATTAATTGCTCAATAACTATTTCCAACACGAGAATATCTTCTATTATGTCTATTGACACATTTACACTAATTCTTGCTGTAAATAGTTTCCCTTCGGAGAGCTCATACTCAACGTCAACTGATGACTGGAGAGTAGAGCGGGGCTGAGCGGTAAGTAAAGGAATCGTTAGGTTTATTCATTTTCGGCTTTCTATTGATTCTGCTTTCCCTGTGCTTTTGTCCCTTTCTTTGGCCACCGCAGCCCCAGCGCTCCGACCATTCGAAGCGCGTGTGGGGGGAGGAGGGGGATCTCCTATGTACAGCCCCCAGCCGCGGTCTGGGCACCCAAACTTATCCACATTGTTACTCAATGCAACATACAGCATTAGGTATGTTATTTGCAACACAAATTCAAATTCGACAAATGTTGTCAACGTTGATGTACATGGCTGAATAGTAAGTTACTCTGGTAATGTATTACTTGAATCATACCTCCTCTACTAATATATTGAAGACTAAGTAGGCATTAACTTTAATGACAAGCACAATATTTTTTTCTCAATTTTTCCAATCTTTTACATTTTTCTTCGAACCTGTCCATGTGTTACCCCTGAAAAAATCACACCCCTTCCTCCAGTTTGGGAACTGCTGTACCGAACAATCAATAATGCCCGATAAATAAATGACTCATTTTCTTCTACTCGATAATGGAGAAAAAACAGTTTTTCAATATCAATCCCACATAAATTTCAATAAATTACAGCCGTAAGTATTTTGACTTATCTTGACTGTCGTAACAATTATGTTGGTTTTCACACTTTCATGAGCCATACACTTTAAATGACCATAAATGTTTTTTTCCTTACAATTTGCAAGAAGACTATTAATATTTCCTAACCACTACGAAGCACTAGATTGTCAAGTCTATAATGTCTCGAATTAATGTACGTGTTAGACGACTGACTAAGTCTATAATGTATACATTGCTGGGTGTTTAGCTCATTAATAATGAGCTAAACACCCAGCAAGTATCCCCATGCATTCACAACAGCAGTTGGCGGTTGCTACGTTACTGCTTGCTAACGATGCAACGTCAGGCTGGAGTTCTCTGGTGAGAATATTAGCAATGAATGAAAAGTCTTCGCTTTTCTTAGAATTGCAGTTCTTCGAGTTTTCAAAACATATCGTGATATTTCGGCAAATAGCTCATGTCAGCCGAAAGCACACTTCTTTATAGTTTAAACAAAATTTTACCTTTTCAAACCTTCAACGGCTTGTTGGATGAGCAATATTTTAACATTCATAGTTCGCCATTGTGTCTGAAATAGTCTCAAAGTCTATGCTCTATATCTTAGGTTACGCTGATAACTATTGTCACTTTAATTACATGGTAATCAGTCTTTTCATGAAACATGCACCCTGTTACGGTAAGTACATATTTGTCATTTTTGTCTATCGAACATAATCTGAGTGTTCACCACACAAAGAACGGAGTTCTGAACAAAGTCCAGTTAAGTCTCTCGGGCTCCCTATCAAATAGGTACTCATTATAATGTCAATAGAGAAGTCGAGTCACCGAGAATACCTGTGGAACATAACACGCAATACCGTGTCTAATGACATAATTTATAAATTTAAACCAAAATTTGTCTGGCGGAAGGTTCCATTTAACTCTAATGACAATGAGATCGACTTGGTCATTTCAAAAGAATACCAAAAAAGTGACACACATGCGACACGGAAGAGGGGAGTCAATGTCATGTCTGCTATAGTGCGAGCTAGGGGCGCGCAGCCTATCTTGATGCTGCAGGGAACATAAGGTGCCAGTGAAAGCTGCGACCTTTACCGTCCCAAGCGGCAAGCAAATGCTTGCAACGCCATATAGCTGAACTCACACTAAATAAATTTATTATATTTTGCACCCCGTCTCGAAATGTGCTCACTTACTTCATTTTCAATAGGTGCCCGCTCGTATTAATTAGCGGACTAATATGATAATCCCATTTATATTAGGTATTTTATATAAATATGTATTATACTTGGCGAAATTTTCACCAAATTTATAAACGATCTTAGGTTCTATTTATTGCATAAAATATAAGAAACGGTTAGTTCAGTGATAAACTTATGAATCTCCCGTGTTGACAGATTCAATAATTTGTGATATTAATAATAATAGCTAGAATAATATTTGCTAATTCAAGTGTAAAGCATATTTTAGGAGTGAGATCTTTAAATGTCTCACCTGAAGTTGCATTTGGCCACAGTAGGGAAGAGGCGCACCATGGGGTCGATTCGTTCTCCGTCTTCCAACTCGACGAAACTGAGCACGTCAGAGCCGTACTCGAAGAACGTGCCTCCGAGGAAGAAGTTCGTGAAGTACAGGTTGAAAATCACCACGCACAGGGCGAGTATCTCGCATGAGAAGAACCTGCGGCCAATCAATAACACGATATTTAAGAAATCATTGCTTTTACTTTGCCACTTCACACATCGATTCGATTTTTCATATTTATTCGTAATTGGGCATTTTCGTTGAATGCAAAGGATAATTTTTCGTAACTGTGCGAAAAGACACCGAGATGTAATACGGTTTAGCAAGATTAATTCTTAGACCCGTGTCATATGCAGGATATACTTTGGACAAGACCTGCGGATGTTTATGCAAAAAAAAAAGACCTGCAAAATTAGCTCAAATTATTTAAATGTAGACAGTGTTACATTATATTTATAATCAAAGACTGACAAGATAAAAACAAGACTCGCAATAGAATAAGGTACATGTGATTATACCATCGTCGGTTGTGCGGTACGGGATGGTCTCCAAGGACAGGATTTGTTCTGAATTTAAGACGCAGGTCAAGATTTATTCGGACGTGTACAACTAAATCTATTGTTTCATCATTTGATAATTCACAATAATTCTCTTTTATTCTAATAATTCATAATTCTTTTTTTTTTTTTAAAAGCTTGAATTCACTATTTCCCATCACCGTGATAAACTTGACTTCTAAGATCTATCGAACAGCATGAATTTCGACCGATAAAAGTTCATCGAAGTCATAGTTGAATTACTTCAAACGTTGTCGATTTTAATGTTTGTACTATCGTCATTTCATTATCATATGGACAACTGGTGATTGACCACTGAACAGGTAGAAAATTTCTATTTGAAGTCCTTTGAGGTTAAATAGAAACAATGCGAGGCAACACTGAAAACTAATTAGGACAAAAGGAATGTTAGTTGTCAGTTAGATTTCTTAGCGGAATGGTTCAATGTACACAGTATATATTAGGCATAATATAGTTTTGTAATAAATAAATCTAGAAATAAAATTGCAAACGTGAATTAGTCACATTTCAATAAAAAACAGGTTACAACAATCTCAATATCCCATTAATAACGTATTCTTTTATAGGGTCATCGAGGTCATCGCACGGAGCACTGGCCTGCAAGATGCAAAGGTTGAGGGTGACATCAAATTTAGAACAGCTGCAGTCCCTACAAAAAAAAACGACCTCCACGAATTGAGCTTGCAAATTTGCCCGACTTGTAAAATATTCAATTCATAAATTAATTTACATAATCATATTAGACTTTTGGAGGAGAATAAAACCTCGTTGCTACCGGTGCCATAGCACATCGGTAAAATTGTTATTGTATCGGTGCAACAAACATCCGTAAATTCACAGAATAACTAAAATACAGTAAATACCATAGTTAATTAGTAGTAAGTAGTAAGAACCAAAAACTAGAATGTACCTATTTTACTTCGATTTCATTTATTGCGCGTTGCAAGCTCAATTCATCAATTTTGCCGCGCATTCTGGAAGTGAAAACAGACGTTTGGAATCCGTGGACTATCAACGACTAGATAGGGGGTCAGGCTCAAGCACTGACACCATGATTATTGCAGTGATTCAAACAATGAAAGCTATAAAAAAATTCTGCAAAAATATTTCGGAAAATAAAGTAATGGGTTTTGATTAACCAATAAAATGAATTAAAAGATGCATTTTCCGGAGTCCAGGCTGGAGAGACAACAAATTATTTTTTAATAAATTTTTTCTTGTAAAACTTTAATCAAATTTATCGAAGCGTTGCACTTGAATTGAGGCGAACTAACCTCCACGCCCAAAGTGTGTGCATGTTGAGGTTGTGGACCATGTAACTGCTGAGCAGACGATGCTTCTTCTGACGTTCATCTTTCTCCATGATGGGCTGGTCCAGTCCTCCCAAGACAACATTGAACAACCCACCTTCTGCTTGCTTCCAAATGAAACGAGGAGTGTAGAATAAGAGAGCTTGGAACATGAGTACTAAAGGTACCCACTGGTAGTACGCATGGTAGACAGTTTCATCACTTTCTTCGTTCGGTCCAACCCCGGGAAAAGATGCGCCTTCTCCCTTTACCTTGTCATATTGTTTTGGTACGCTGAAGGTGGCCATGATAAAGCAATAAAGATTCATGATGTTGCCTGGAACACTTTTGGTCGTAACACAATCAATTGGAGATCCAAAGAATTCCTTAGCAGTGACAAGAGCACTTGCAATAACGAAAATAAGAAAAGTAGATCGGTAATGGAGGCAGAGAACAGCATTGTCCACTGATGGCTTGTGCTTCTTGAGCACTTTAGCTACAGCCAAATACTTCAGCATTTTGATGGATTAAAACTCACAAGCGTAGAAGCAACGGAAATAAGCTAAACACTCATTCACTGAATTCTAAACATATCAGTAATTTACCGGAGTTTTCAGTCACTCGATCGGGAACTGCTGCACTACACCACACCTCACGCCGCTCTAGGGTCAACTAACCAATCGAGTTAGAGTCTAAAAGAACCAAACGGAATATCTGGCCGCGATGCCGAGTACTGTGCGTTCAAGAGAATCTCGGGCCGACGAAGGAGGAGGCGGTCAGGCGGCTGGCTATTCAGTGTTGGCAAGAAGTCAGAGACGGGAGGACTGTGCTGAAATTGCTGCGGTGATGTGAGATTTTATCTGATTTTGGGAAGTGATTTTTTTTCGAATTGAAACCGATTTTGATCATTGTTGTATGCATATTCTGGTATCAGTTACATTACCTTTTTTCGACTAGCAGACGACCGTTAAAATGGTGCTCAAGTATTTAGCAGTCGGGCAGCTTCTGAAGCGGCAGAAAGCCCGCGTTGAAAATGTGATGTTCCACCTTCATTACCGCTACACATTCATAGTGTTCATGGTGAGTAGTGCCCTAATATCTGCTAAAGAGTATTTCGGCTCTGCTATGGAATGTTACTCTCCCAGAAACTCAATACCACAAAATGTCTTGAACACCTATTGTTTCTTCACATCCACGTACTCGGTTACGAAACATAACCAAACGGGGGTTAGTGTTGTGTACCCAGGCGTTGGACCGCACGACAATGAAGATGAAATCGTCTACAACTCTTACTATCAATGGGTGCCAATAGTCTTGTTTCTACAAGCTTTGTCGTTCTACTTGCCACGATTTTTGTGGAAGAACTTTGAAGGAGGATTGTTTACTTCGATACTACAAGGCTTGGATCAAAAAAGCCTAAACGATGGATCGAATACTCAAAAGTATCAAACTCTCATGAAGTACATGATGAATCACGTCAATATGCATAAAAACTGGACAATCAGGTAAGTCCGCATCTCCTCATTTGCTCTGTTTATTATCTGATTACAAATAATGCCTGAGAATTTTTTATGATAACCTACCCAAACCAACACGGTTTAGCAAATAATGGAATAGCATCGTCAATAGTGTCTAGGCTGCATGACTAATCATATTACTTGTTCTGTGTTAATTTTACTATGTTCGTTGTACCTACGAAAAATTACCTAACAACTCACTAGACTAGAGACTAGTATGAACCGTAAATGAAATTAAGGCCAAAAAAAAATTTAAATATTAACACGTTTAGTGCGGTACGACTCACCGGTGGGAGCTGGTATTTTTTCCTGATAAATTCCGTGATTCATTTACTTATTTGTTTGGATCTTGTTAAGAATAAGCACCGACGTTATCTGGGCTGCGTATTCTTAACAAAAACATTACTGAGATGCTTATTCTTAGCAAGGGTAATTAAATGAATACGGTACATTACAAACAAATTAGGTATTTTTAGACATTTTTTTATTAATTACAATTTTATGTAAAAAAATACATTGCAAAATAATTAATCCCCAATGACAGTCATAGTGGTACTGAACCACAATACCAGCACCTCAGCACCTGAAGCTTCAAAAGCATTTTTTGAGAAGCGATATCGCCCCACGAATTCTTGAAGATAAGAATTTAAAAAAACTCCTTTTGCAGCCAAACATTTTCTTATTCTCTAAAGGTTTATACTAAGGTGCGTTTTCTTTATAAGGTCATTGCCTCATTGGTACTCATGCTTGGGTGCTTATTCATGACAAGATCAATTTTTTTTCAGTTGCGTCGGCCGACAAAAATTCTTGATGGTAGTACGACTTCATTAAAATTTTACAAGTGCGAAAAAAGTAACATAATTTTGTTGCACCGGAAATTACAAATTTACTAGTACCGGCATATATTGAATTAAAGACCTTTTTGTCCGCGGACTTGCCCGTTTTTAGGCTATCTGGCTGCCTTGTGCTGGTTGATCGTGCCGGACTCAACAACAAGGTGTTTATGAAATGAATATAATTTATCGAACTCATCGACATTACTTTAATTTCCTAGCGCGAAAAGGCGTGGCAAAAACCTCGTGGAAATGGAGCCAGCACAGTGGAGCATAACTCAGTTCAAAGACTGACGAAGCTTGCGAGTTGTCGGGCTATGGCCATCAAGCCAGCACATTCAAACCAAACTTAGTTCAAAAGCTAGTTGAATGAAATGCTTGCGCGTTGTCAGGCTGCGGCATCTAGCCAATTTATTCGAAAGGCCGTTCGTTGAAAATGCTGTCTCAGGCTGTGGTCGTTATGTGAGCGTAAGCCTAAAATATCGACCACCGCCATCTCGCAACTAAATTCAGCATCGGCGCACATCTGCGCAGTAAGTTATACCCTATATACAATACGCGCAGCCTACAACTGAATGGCGCTATATAAGACGTGTTTTCTTTTTATTCCTCTTGAGGCTTCGTCATTTATCTTCATTTATCTTGATGAACAATCAATGGCTCGAATGTTAGATGTCAGTTTTATTACTTGTTCCCTTCGATTTCGCACTCGTTTTAATTTAATCGATGAATTTGAAAAGTATTGCAATATACCTAGTATTCGACTTGAAATATTATTTGGACTGTTTCAAACAAATATTTGATGGTAAAATTGATCAGCTGTTTGACCTTTTGCGCGTGCGATTCATTCCTTTGTTATTTTGTTTCTGCATGACAGTGCATGCAATACTCACTTGGCCTGATGCAGTAAAATTTAGTTTTGTGGTAGCAAATAATACTTTCCAGGTGATAGCATAAGTGAATTTGCAGCTGGCACCAAGTTTATGAGACATAATAAGAGAAGGGCTCCCTGACAAATGTTTTACTTGCTGTTCCAATTTTTTCTCACTTATGAGACGCTTGCATTCAAAGTTGTAGCTTTATCTAAAACCTGGATTAAAAGCAATGAATGATTTTGTGTACCTACCTGTTTTATTGTTGGCTTGCGTTCAATGCTGTAATTGACTTCACCAAATAATGGGTATGGTACGTTACAGATTTTTCGTGTGCGAGCTGCTGTGTCTGGTTGTGGTGATCAGCAACATCTACATCACGGATTGGTTCCTGGGCGGCACCTTCATCGCGTACGGCTCCGAGGTCTTCAGCCTTCAAAACACAGACTCCGACCTCCGCCAGGACGCCATGGATAAAATATTCCCCAGAGTCGCCAAGTGCACATTCAGGTATGTAACTAACACATTCTTAGAGATGGCTCAGTGGTTAAAGTTCAGAGTACCAGGATTGGAGCAGCGAGGTGCGGGTTCGATCCCAGCTCTGTGCGCCAGTTAATGGTCAGAACCGGCGAGGAAGCCGGGTTGACTTGGAGCAGTGAGTTGTGAGTTAGAGACCGCAACAAGCTGTGAATGTTCGACGATGTTAAGAATCGGCGGCAGGCCTACAGCCTAATAAACGCTGAAACCGCGATATTATTATTACATGAAATCATCCCCAGTCGCCATGTATGTTGTAATAATACTTAATTTGTATCCGTCTAGCTATGGATGTTTAAAAAGTATCGAACCTTTGATCAGCATGCGTACATTTATTGATTTAGAATTTAAAACTTTAAACTTGCAACCCTTCAAAGTAGTCTCCTTGGTGATGAAAGTGTTTCTACCAACGCGACGCAATCTTTGGAAACACAACTGGAACGCAGTTTTTGGAACTGTGTGTAGGCGGCCCGCGGAATTCCGCATGATGTATTTTCTTGACTTAAATAGGGTTAGTTTTAGTGGCATTTCAGTTTTAGTTAAGAGATGAAGTCATACGGAGCTGCGATGTATGGTCAGAAGAGAGTCTGATGACCCGCAGCAATATTCGATGCAATATTGCCTTTTGCATTTTTTTGTCATGCGAAAACGTAAAATGACATGTTACCGATACGTAAATTGACACCATTGAAAATAAAATCTGACGACATACGTCTTTAAACGGAGGCCTATTGATAACAAAGACGATATCTGCGGACGGGGAAAAATTCACGGCCGCGCATGATTAATTTGCTCCTCCGCCCCGTCACCAATTGATAGGAGCCTACCCGCCATTATTTCTTTATGTTCGATATTTTATATTCATATATTTATGTTCGAATTTATGTTCGATACTTTTTGAAATCACCTTGTTGTGATTTGTTCAATCTTCAAAGATTTGTTAATTAACATTACAGTATTTTTGAGTCAACAGTTCATTGATTACACTAAAAAATCAATACTGAAACGGGATAGATGATTGAATTGCCAGAGATGATACGCCTATGATTTTAAATTATGTTGGAGCTGCAAACTGGGTTTCTTCCATATCTGCAATGCCAGCTCGGAAGATTGATTTCGTCCTCATGCATTTTGTTTGTTGTTGCCTTATGCCATTATAAAAACACTCATGGAATCGAACTAGTTCCTAACGGGGTAATGACATGGATCGCTTGTACGCCGCGATGGAATCGGCAATCGACTAGCCCGAGGTTATCAAGTTTGATAAGTTGTGACACCTCGATACGAGATTATCATGTGTCGACAGAGAATATGTTATCTAGGCCTATATTTACGTGCCAAAACAATGTCGACTCTGAGTACTTGCTTCTGAAGTGATTGATCTTGTGAACGTGTGCGTTCCACTTTCTTACAGGATTAGCTTTACACTAACAATGATGTTATTGATTTCTTGTAATCGTGAAGTTTTTAAAGTATCTTTACATTTGTTTTAAAATTAACTTATAGACCATAGGCTGGATTCGGTATAATTTTCTTCAGTAGGAGTTTTAAACCAAGTATCCAATCATTAAATCTTTAGATGAAGCACAACACCCATCATCTGAATTAACAATGTTCGCTGCACAGTTGAGAAAATGTCGCTTGCTTCTATTCACTTATCATTTTACATTTTTACTGAAAATAGGCGGCGCTCAATCACAGCTGCATACTGGCTTCAGCATTTGCCCCTCTCTCCATGCTGCACATATCCTCTATGCATAAAATTCCAATTATCAATAGCGCTTTTGAAACAATAAAATAACATAAAAGTTAATGAGAACGAGTTGAGTTCATCAGATAATAACGCGTTCTCTCCTGAACTCAGGGTTTAATATGTAATAGCAATAGGTGTTTGCGAACTACAATGCAAACCATTCTGAAACTACCGCATTGTTTGTAAACGATTATTTAGAAGATAGGAATGAGTATGATTGACTTCATCCATTTTTAATGTTTCCATAATCACGTTGAGTGCATGTATGACTTTCACGCTAATTGATTACTCGAACATGCATTTATTGATACGCTACCTCTCCCTGGATCAACTATGAATATTGATCAGCCATTAGAGTGTCATTACGCTCAGCACTTCGATGACTAATCCTATCAACACCTCATAAATATGCCTCAGTTATTGAGAAATTAGTTTGAAACTCGAACAATACTTAAAATCATATCTGAGCATGTTTCTCAGTTGTATGAACGTGGGTTGCCTCCTTCTTTGTCAACACCTGTGCACCTGCTTGCCGGAAGTTCCTAACTACAGTTCACAATACCTGTATAGCATTCGTACCTAATTAATTACTGTCTTTGTGTCTTTATAATCGGGCGGTATCTCTACCGGTCGGTAGCGTGGATACGCAGCTCGTCCAACGTATTATCGAGAAGTGGAACTTCATTTCTGCTTACATGGAAGCCCAACGCTTCTTTGTAATCTTTCGTTTTCCTTACGTCAGCATAATTCAGTGCTCAAACTAGCCTATGAATTATAGCTCAATTTGACCGGAGATATATGTTTGATAAGAAGACATACGTTGAAAATTTAATCAAAATATGATCGGAAATATAGAGTAGTTCACAAAGTAACCTGTGTTGTATAAATAAATAATTATGTTTTGCGCTCAGCCTGTGCTGTAGACCGCCTGATAGTTCATGGTACTAGTTTTTATTAGCACTCGTCTTTTCCTTTGATACTTATTTTTATTGAGTGTGATTAGTTAGTGTGTTGTTGATTTACCTATTTAATGGTAAATTCATTTTCCGTTACATGTTTTTCATCTGCTGCTGAGATTTGCGTGTGATAACATCTACCATTGAGGCACACGAGTTGCATCATGCACCGGCAATGTCTCTTATAAGTGACGTACAAACGATGAACAAAGAAGCCGTTGGGCGAGTCAACGAACGCCGTCTGGTTGTCTCGCTTTCCTGTACAATAAATTCTCCTTATGCTGGTTAGCAGCCTAAGTTGAGTGTCTAGTGCCGACAAAAAAACACATATTAAAATGAAAAATGCCTATTTCGTCTGAAGCTGAGCATAGTCGTCCATTGATTGGCACAGTGGAAATATTTCATAACAATGATATCTAAGTAGGATAAAACAGATCTAATAAGCCGCATGACTGACTGACGTGTCTATACCGCCTTTGTTGTGCTATACCGTCTGGTCATGCGTATTGCTTGTTACCTACGAGTACAATGAAAAGTATAAATACCATGATAAGTATAATACCATACCAAGTATATGTATATATAAGTATACCAAGATAAGTATCGGTAATCTACCATGCGTAACACTATTTTCTAACGATGCTCTTTATTCTCCATTGATATCTCCCACTGAGGCAAATTTCACAAGCAGATTACAGAAATGAATCGAATTTACGTGATCGTGTGCGTTGATGTGTTCGGCTTTTTATTGTGCGATGTTATGAGATCAGTAAGAAATATCACTTTAAAACCATAATATAAGCATATATAAGTTAACTTTTACTTCAAGCATTAATTTTAATTTCGTTTTCTAATTTGGGAAACCCAGTGATAAACGTGTTCGCCAGTTCCCAGTAGCGTATTTATGAAGCGCTCTATTCAAGCGGGCGCGTTAAGCTCATGTAACTCAATAAAAACCGTTTCCTGTAGTTTTCCTAGTCCCAGAGGAGCGAAGAAACACTGAGCATCTGATCAGGATGACATTTCGGGCTCATTGCAAATGAAGACTCATTACGATGAATGGACTGCTTAACGAGTCTTTAATAGTGCCTATTTGAACTTCTACTGATCCTTAATACAAAATTCGCTTTTGGCATCCTTCAACGTCTGTAAGATATGTCAATTGCCAAAATAACCGAAATTTGAATTGGTTTATGATCCTATCGGAAGCGAATTCAAAGTTAAAGTCCAAGCTGTCTCGTGGTGAGCGCCCTAAGGTTTAAATTCGTATAATTTTGGGATGAATCTGCGGTATGTATATATATATATTTTTTTGTCCAGGAAATTTGGTGCATCTGGGAACATCGAGTCGCACGACAGCATGTGTGTGATGGCAGTCAACATCTTGAACGTGAAGATATACATCTTCCTGTGGTACTGGATGGTGCTGCTCGCTTTCGTCACCATCCTCTGGCTCCTCTACAGGATCTGTATCATCCTTTTCGCACCGCTGCGCACTTACTTGCTCAATGTAAGAACCCTTGCTTGCTCAATGTAAAGCCCTACTCGGGGTATAACGTATTGCTGTGTAGTTCAATGTAATTGTGGAATGGGTTTCGCATGACCTATTGCTCGTTACAGTCGTTAGTGTTAACTTATCTGAAGTCCGGGATATTTCAGTTCTTGTCAAACAATTAAGGGAGGCAATTAAACATGGCTCATTGCTTTAAATGTCAATAATTCATGCTATGAAAAGTTGGTTTTCACATAATTCATTACCCTTTTACTCTAATATTTAATTCGTGTCACTCGAGGGAAAACTTAGTTGTCATATTTATGTGAACAATCCTAGTCATATACGATGGAGATCAAGCGTTGTGGTAACGGAACTGCAGTCAATTTAATTTTCGCTCGCATTCGTACGCTCGCCTGAACCACGTTGTTGTTGTTAACGTTTTCAATGAGCACTAAAAAAGTTTTGACATATGTTCGGTTTATTAATCTTCAGCTTTGTTCTTTCTTCTGCCAGCCATACATCATGTAATTTCATTTATCTGGTGCCAATTTATAAAGTTTAAGTTCAACTAAACCTGAGCCTCGACTCACATTTTCAGTTCCGTGGCCGGCTGGCGGGGCGGCGGGTGGTTGGGATCGTGGGCTCGAACTCCTCCCTGGGCGACTGGTTTCTCTTGTACCACCTCGGACGCTGCATGCACCCCATGGAGTTCGCCTCCTTCCTTAAAGCCTATGCCGCGGAGATCACCGCAGCCTGCGCTCCACCACTGGAATCATTCAGCAAGCCAATGAAGGCGCAATAGTTTCCGCACGACGCCAACACTGAGACTCGTCTGTGCCTTTGATTTTAGAGTTAATTTTGTTGGCGCCATGAAAAAAATTCTCACTGTCACCTACAATTTTTGTGCCATCCTTAAGAGTAATGCGATATCATTGTGCCCTGAAAGTTCTAGCCGTAGCAGCCTGCTAACGAAGTTGTCTGTATAAGTCCTGAATGGTGCCAAGAAACGCGAAATGATTATATTTTCTTCATATTAGCCCGTTTTCCATCGATCCACTTACATTTCGATCCAGCGCGTTTGTAAAGGTCAGGTAACAAACAATTATATAATCAGTCGACAAAGGGTTAAGAGGCCACCTTCGCACAACGTCACACTTCAGTCATATTCTTTTCCGTGGGTAAGAACGATAGACGGAATAGCAGCCTATAAAGTCTAGTTCATTGCGCCGTATGTCCACAGCCTGGTGGACATACGCAAGCCTAGTTGCCCCAAAATTTAGACAGGATTTCAGTGTTGCATGTAATTGATATTTCAATGAGTTTTATCATATTCTTAATTTTCAGCCTTAGTGGCTAAGAAATGAGCGTTTGATTATGCGTCTTGAAGTCCTAATGAACCGCAAAGTCTTCTTTCTGGCCTTTAAATGTGTGGGGGTTCTTGTGCTTCTGGGATATCCAAAAATTCGATCTTTACTGAAAAATCCCTCAATTCATTCAGTTCACAGTTCAGTTCAGTTCACAAACATTTTCATGTTATATTCTAAAATATTCTAGTGAGGAAAAAATCTCCGCTACAAAAGTTGCGTCTGAAAAATGACGATTCGAAGAATGCCATGTGATGAACTTTCAAGTTACCTAAAAATAAGTTCCTATAATTGGTGTATCTTGCAATACTATGTTGCGACGGCTTGCTTGGGGTGAAAAGGCTTGTATTTATTATTCATAGATGATAAACAGTTCGGTGATGAGTTTCCTCCCTGATATTATTAATACTATTTATAATGTTTGCCTTAGATAAGGAAGCGTTTCCATTAGTTAAGTATTGTACTCGACTGCTTGTTGTTTTAAGTATTTTCCATTCCTGTGTAACCATGACATAATTAAACGATCATTTAAATAGAAATTAAGAGTAAATTGTTGTCTTTTGATGATGCCTATTCCTTAAAGTTGAACTATCTAATGAGGCGCAGTGGTATATTTGTTGAGACTTCTGCAGGATTGAATACTCTATATTTCTTACGATACTTCTGATCTTCTAGTTGTCAGGCGGTATTGTTTTATTTTTACCAGTATTTTAGTATTCAAAGTTTGGAAACTTGGAATTAATAGCGTACTCATGCATGTCGTGCAAGCTCTCACCTAGTTAGTATCTGCCAATAGTAAGGCCCTTCTGCTGCTTACCACTTAGTTGGACTTTATATGGCGTGTTGAAGTTGTAGCTCATTCTGTGGAGTACATTTCTTCTTTATTTCAGTACAATCTTTGATCAGAATGAAGGATATTAAAGATGCTGGCTCTAACTCCAAATGTCGTAGATAGAATACTCAGATAGTCATTGAATAAAAGAGTATTCCCGTAAATAATTTACGATACAAAGCAGCCGTCTTGTCACTACTAAAACCACTGCAGAGTGACATAACACTGCGGTTAAAAAAGTTATACTTGCAACAGCAGCTGCCGAGCCGGCATTGGATTGCGGACTGAGGACAAACCTGGAGAGAATAGCTTTCTGAAAAGTATGCAATTTTTGACATGAATAGTTTACCTTCTGCGATCCCGGAGAGTGTATGGAGGAAATACATATTAATTTATAAGACTGAAAATGACAGGAACTAAATTATTATCATTTCCCTGTCGTTGTAAACAGAGAGCATACCAGTGCTTGCTCGTTTGTGAGTGCCGCGCTGAAGAAAAGGACCAATAGCTCGTATAAGTTGACTCCACTCCATTACAACTAATAATTATCGGTGCGTTCTAAATCGTCTTTTCAAATAGCGTATTTTATATGTATTTGGAAATTGTGGAGCATTGATTTACTGGCATAAACTTTCTTTTTGGCTACGCAAGAAAGACAATATTCGTGTCAGTTTATATAAAGGAGCACGGCCCTTTCCCGGTCTTCAATTTTTGGAACTCGAAGAGATGACTGCGTAATCCATCTATGTTATTTAGCATCGATTGTAAAGTATACAGAAATTGATGGATGGCTTTACCATCAAATCCGTAAATTTGTTTGTTAGGAAAGACTGCAACTCACAGCTCTCAACCAGAGCAACAATGTTTCGGGTTTATTGTGAAAAAGATAGACGATTTTAGGTAACACTTCAAAGGTGTTACTGAATATTCATCTATTATATTTTTATATCTTCAGGTAAAATCATGCATCTTGTTTACAGTTCTTTGATTAGTAGATGTACTCTCTTGCTTAAATGTTTAATTTCGTCATTTTTTGCACCGAAGATTTCGTAACAAACTCACGACATGCACAAGCACCAATACTATCGTTCATTTCTAGCGTTTAGACGTTCAGTGGTACGCTGATTAGTCCTTGAATTACTTGTGTATAATTAGATGTAATATCATGCGTACAGAGCCTGTGCCTCCTCTGTGTGGAATGACATTAAGACTGCCTCCTTTGGGTGATCATTAAATTGAGAATTACAATAGCCGAAATAAGGACTACAGCTACACTTGCAACTGCTGCTATACTTTATTACTGCGACCCTAGGATTTCCGGTGCAATCTCTAATATTGCGTTAATTGCGTTAGATATCTTACCTACACATCGATTTTTAAGTCTATACTTAACGCCTCTTCTGTTTGCTGCTGCCGTATTTAGTGTCGCAACTTCGCAAGGTTAATGCTGGGAATCAAGTTCACTGTCAAATCATATGCCGATAAATTGGAATACAGAATATGATCACATGAAGCATCCTTGAAACTAAGTTTATCAGTTAATCAGACTGTATTCTTTCTCTGGTTGCAGTTGCTCCACTTCTTCATCAGTTCTAAATTCTTTTGCCTTCGAAAACCTTCGAAGATTTTTCCTGTGGATTCTCAAATAAAGTTTATCAGCGATTATATTCGTGTAAATTCCTTACACAACAGCAGTTGAATATGGTGTAGTAGTACCTGGCCAGAATTGAATGCAGTGGAAGATCGTGACTCGTGAGTGTACCTATATATAATCTTGGCTATAATTACTAAAGAGATTACTGGAATATGAAAGAAGAACCTACACCAGGGGTCACGATTATTAACTAAATAACCTGCGGGTCCACTCATCAACGCAACAACGCTTCGCTTCGCGTCACCGACATGTGGAACTCTCAGACGTCATGCAGAGCCAACGCTGAGCCTAAACATGCACAGCTAGGTAACCTTTAACATCAGAGCTACGATGCCGCGCCTACTCTTTAGCGCCGACATCGTTATGTTATGTTATGAGCGAGGAACGCAACGTCGAATTAATAATAATAATAATAGCACTTTCAGCGTTTAGTAGGCCGTAGGCCTGTCGCCGATTCTTGACATCGCAGAAAATTCACAGCATTTTGCGGTCTCGAACTCGCAACTCACTGCTACAATTCTGCTGCGCTTAACAGCCCGGCCTCCTTGTCGATTCTGACCAGAAGGCAGAAACTGTCGCAGGTAGATGGGATCGAACCCGCACCTCTCTGCGCCAATCATGGTACTCTGAACTGTAACCACTGGGCCACCCTGCCCAGTTGAGGATTTCAGCAGCCAAACTCAAAATTTCGTCTGATACTGAGATAAAACTATTCACACTTTTATAGCCCTCTCCTGCGTGTGCTGGCTAACCTGTTTTGCTCACATATTTTGCTTCAACATTACGCAATGCCTACAATTTGCTCTTAAAGGTTGCTTAATTTGATGCATCGTTATGATCATCTCTGTATTTTTGCAAGCAGATAAAAGTGATATTGGATCCAATTGGCTCCATGTAGCAAACAACATCAAATTATCGTTTTCACGAGGTTAGGCAACTCTAATGTGGTATATGTTATATTAAAACTATAAATCGCAGTCCATTTTTCAATAATTCGTGTCATATTACATTAGTAACACACATTTCAACCAATACTAAATTTCCACTCTATACCATGAACTTTGTTTTCGAGGGATATACAAAAATAAGTAATTTACCAATAGCATGATCGTGAGATCAAAATTGGTTACCAGATAGGATGAAAAAACGTTGGAATCATAATCCTACTTCAGTCAGTTACCGCTGAGTGCTAGTGTTGTTGTCTTAAAACGAAGTGGCTCGTGTTCAGATTTGTTAAAGTTATTTTTATTATTGCTGTGACGATTTTTGTTCATAGCTACAATTACCCAAATCTTTTTGGAAGTCCTCAACTGGCAATGTTGACTTAACTTCTTTAAATTGTATAATTTTTCAGTTTTAACCTTCAGTAGCCAACTAGCCATGTTCGATACCGATGGAGGGTGGTAGCGGCTAATGAGGTACGTTTCTTCTGTCTTCATTATAAATGTATGGTTTCAGAGTGATAAAATTTCATTCAATGTGTGATTTTTATCGTTCAATGCAGTGTGCGTTAGCGGTATATCCATCGCTAACGACATCCGCAGTTAACTTGTTGTTGAAGCAATGACAGCATTAGCAGGCTATGAGCCGTACACCACCGACCGCCACTACAACTCCGACACTCGACAGTGGCATTAGCCTAGTCGTCGCATTATTCGAGTGAATTTGAGGCTCCTTGGCTGGAATTCTAGGAATAGTGGTTTATATGACCAAAATTGATCCAGCTGGTCCGCCTGGTCGGCCTGATCCCTTGATTTTTATAAAGCTTTATTGATAAGCGTAAACGCGGTATATTCCGACATCGTGGGTAATTCTGTCACCTGTAACCTCTCCAGCTTTTCCTTTGTATTAAGCTTTGTTTTAGTTCCATGCGTTCATTGATGGTTGAAATGGTGACGTCATACATTTGCGTGTCGAAATACTGCAAAAACACTAGGTCTTGGCCATCTAGT